CATTATTTATTTGCGAAGAGCGATCAGGCAGACGCCGTGTTTACACTGAGCGTTGCGATTCATTTATGCAAATTCAATTTGACAGCTTTGATTGATGCACTCAGCTTACTTCAATGTAGTCAAATATAAGTATATATAATTATATATAAATATATATATGCATTACTGATTCTTTTCGGGTTAACTTGGGTCAGCACTGATACGTGTTATACAACTGCAGAGGCGCGCAGAAATAGCGTTTTTAGATTGATTTGATTTGATTTGATTAGAGATCAATGCACCAATTGAGCTTGCTATATTTACATAGAATTGCTAATTAAAAATAATTATTTAAAGTAAATAAATATTGTCGCAGAAGATAATAAGATTGCTAATCTGTATAGTAATTATTGTTAGCTAGGTTCTGTTTTTAAGGGATGTAAAACAAATTGAAATGTGTGTTATAAAAGCGTTTAATATTATAGCAGTTTGTGATAAGGCTTTTACGAGAAAACAACGCGAAATTAACGAATATATAAATTTATTTAATATTACATATATACATATGTATATATATAATTTATATAATATAAAATTATCTGTATACTTTAAGCAAAATTTGTATATATATTTGTTAGACACAAACATTTCAATTCCTAAGACAATAAAGTCTACATCAAATTTGACCTTCCCAAACATAGCACTAGAGTAAAATCTACATTTTTGTCAACCTTCACAAAAGACATACAAACTTTAATTAACTTCTTGAAATTTTTATGCTTGGAAATTTTTCAACTGAAAATCAGACCATAATATCTATAATTTGATGTTATTTTAAATGCTATATATATGCTATATATATATGCTTACTATATTCCGAAAAAACTCATAGCTCTATTATGCCACAATATACTTGTAAAAGTACAAATAATATAAGAAAATATATTCACAGCACAAAAGTTAAGTCAAAGGTTTCGAAGCGCATAAACTTGAAAAATTTCTTTAAAAAACAATACAATTTCTTAAGAAATTTATTATTTTTTTAAACTTTTTTTATTTAATCACAATAAATTAACATAAATATTATATAATAATTTTTGTGTGCAACATAAATGTACTTACTTTTTGGACTTGAAAACATTTTCTTCCTTTTTGTGTATTTTTTTTTTATTTTTTAAGCTCGTATTTAGATTTATATAGTTTTGAACATTCACTGCCCACGTAAGCTTTAATTGTGTTATACTAGCATCGCAGGAACAATTCCAGATGATGCGGAAATTCAGCCTAAAAAACTGTCTATATTAGCTGGCAACTGCCAGCAATCGAATGAATTTGAATTGAAATGAAGCAGATCACAACTCAATGATGATTGAAATGCCTTTTTTTATATATGTATATAATAATATTAAGCGATCTATATATGTATGCATGCCAGATTATACATATAAGAGTATGTGCATAATCTATATGTGAAATAAGAGCTTTTGGAGCATCCAATTGGAACGTCACATGTCTTATCAGAATAGAGAGCACTCAAAGCAGACTGACAATCAGAGCGCCACGGACAGACACAGGTGTCGGCTTTTTTTTGGTCAGCTAGGCCAACAGCTGATCAGGCTATCGAATAGACCTTTTACAATTTACCACACTGCGAGCCCTAATTGGGTCAGTTTTAGTTGGTAATCAGCTTATTGCACTTTTGTATTCGATTGGTTTCTTTGTGTCATGCTGCTCAGCTCGCATTAGCTCGAGGCGTTCGTTGGTCCAATTAGCCGAAGCCCTGAACTATATTTTCCATCGATTTACTCCATATACGTCTGTATTTATATAGCAAGTCTTTTGATTTAGCACTGCACACTCAATACTTTTTTACTGCCTTTCGATGGGGGGAAGTCAATGAGAGCGACTAAGCTAAAGCGAAACGAAATCTCTAATCAAAATAAAATACCCAGCTGAAGAAGTCGTTGAACGTAGCGACAACAAGGAAGGCACCGACTACAATAAAAGAAGAAATCCACACACACACCCACACACACGCACACATGCACACACATTTGACGACTGGAAACTGGAAAGGGCGATAGCAGAGATCAGCAGAAGAGCGTGTGCCCACAGCTGCCGAGCACATATCAAAGAAGTAACTGTAAATATGTCGCATTTGTCTTAACATTCCAATGGAAGTACAAAAATTGCCTACATGCAAGTAATCTATGTCGACTAATTAAATACCCTCTAAAATAAACTGCTCAAAGAATAATTAAATGAACTCATAAAGCATAAAAATTAAAATATCAGAAAAAAGTGAACATATTAAATCAAAAATATGAAATAAAATTTTTAAAAATGTTGAGTGAAATATTAAAAAAAGTGAAGAATTATATTTCAAAAATAGATTTTTCTTAAACAAATAAAGAATTAGAAATTATTACACATCAAAATAGTTTAAATTAAACAAAAACAGGACTAACAATATATTTTTTTAAAGTTTCAACAGGTAGCAACTAAAATATGACAATCACTGGCTACACGATTTTGGCATATCCATCTTTTTGGAGTTAAAAAAACTATTACAACTAAAAAACTAGTTTTTGAAAAAAAAATTGATAATAAAGAAAAAAATTACATTTGATTTTAATATTAATATCTAAAATATTTTAATAGATTTAAGTTATTATTTGCATAAACTTTTTAAAATATAATATATAAGTATATTTAAAAAGATGTAGTTGACATAATCTAAAAATTTTGTAAGATATAAAAATGCTTATAAATATAAATATTTTTATTTAACTTAGTTTTTATTTAATTGATATTCCATAAACAAAATTTTATTTTTCCTAAGCTCTATCTTAATTTATGTTAGTTTTTTAGTTACTAAGATCTCCCAAGACTCCTATCGCGGATTGAACGGATGCCAACAGTAGCTGCCCAACACGACCCTAAAGACTGATAAAACTAATAAATGTATATGAATATATATATATGTATATATATATAATATTCCATAACAAATATATACATATATATATATATATATATATATATATATATATATATATATATATGAATATATGTATTCATTAAAACACAAACTATTTGAAAGGCGAGAAATTCTATTTTATTCTAGACTCTGTTGTTGTGACCAAAGAGAGTTGTCAACTGAGATAGTTTGCTGGCACAGTTGGACATAGTTGGGCATAGTATGAGGGTAGATGATTAGCTATAATTAACTATCGTTTAAGGGGTTCAATAACACGTATTCTAATCGCATTTAAATTAGTTATATAATATAAAAATAACGCCTACATGATATGCCAAATACACGATATACGTATATATATGAATAGTTTTGCATCGTATAAGCCTGGTTACCTGGCAGTTAAGGTTTTTATTGCAAGCCGCAATTAAGGCAAATCAAGTGCGGCATATGCTGTTATTAACAATTATACAGGTCAGCTCACAACTGACGCAAATGCCCAGGAAAGTGAAGGGAATTTAGTTACATACATCTCCATATGCACATTAAGAATTCAGATATAAGATAAAAAAAAGAAACAGAAACAAAAACAAAAACTATAACGAAGACGCTCCATTCAACCTTTCAAAAGCACTTCCGCATCTGGAAACCTGTGTAAGAGGCATTCCGACTCTTTTCCAGTTGAGTTTCGGCTGGAAGGTCACGCTATTGTTACGCCCTTCTGGCAACCCTAATTTCACACTTCCAATCTACACACGTGATGCGTGTCGATCTGTGGCGTCGGTCTTGGCGCCAAAGCTCCTTCCAAGCGCTTCAGTTGCCCTCGAGACATACGCGCACAGAAACGAAGCCCAGAAGCCACAACTTTTGTTTGTCCTCAGTGTTATTTTTTTTTAATTGAAACTTTTCTTTAGGAATACGCGGCTCAAGAATTCCTATTATTCCTATTCCTATTATTATTATTTTTTGTTTTCAAAATATTATTTTTATTTCCACAAGGAGAGACTTTATTTTACTTGTATTTGTTTAACATTCTTTTCGCAACAATAAGTTAATAAGTTAAAAACAAATATTGATTTTGTTTAATTAATATAAGTTATTTTTTAACCAATTCCGAGCTGGGTGGCTTTTTATCATAGTGGAAAGAGGAAGGCACATATCTGGGTTTCCCGTTGCACACGTGAGTATATGAAATATGAAATTACAGTGGTTTGAAAATGAGTCAATTGCATTTTAATTGCTGACTCAATTAAAACACGTGCTATAAATTAAATCATATGTGCAATAATTCAACGTTCAGGTGGAAAATGATTAAATGCTGCAGCTCATCTCTATAGCTGCGAGCTATCTAATATTGTGCTCCAATTACTCACTTCTCTTCTCTTTGCTTCTTTAATATATAATAAGTTAATTTAGCAAAAATTTTTATTAGTATTATTATTAGTATTAGCTGCAAGTATATGCCCGATTTGTAGTCCCTATTGATTTATTGTATTATTCCATTAAATCCGTATGGGTGAGTTAATCAATCAATATGCTGATTAACTTTCAATTACTAATCAATCTCGTCCCACTGTATAGCTAACTGTATTCATAAACAGTTAGTCCCATGGCAAACTGTCACTCGTATAATTGAAAAAATACACTGGAATCTTTTACACTCCATCTCTCCTTCTCTGCCTTTCCTTTGCATTGCAATTGCCCTTTCTCATTGTCCCTCTCTTCCGCTCTCTTTGTCTCATCATTGTGCCGTGTTGACATTGGCTGTTTAATTAACACTGTAAAGCCGGTTATTTATTACATTTTAGTTGAGTTGTTTCATATTTTTATTGCAAATTATAATTTTTTATTGATGCGCTTGAGCAAATTGTTTTATTTCAACAGTTTTATTGTATAAATTAAATATATATTATATATTTATATATATATTCCATTGGGTTTCGGAGAATTTGTTTAATTAATATACATATTTATATACTCTCTAATAACATGAGAATCGATTGAGTATACCTAAAACACACATTAATTATATTTGTAATATTGCCTTCAACATAACGAAAATTTGTAAGATTTCTTGTATATTACGTCAGCATTTCATGAATAAGACGTTTAGCATATCATAAAAGGTAATGTAAACATCTTCATTATGAAGAACAGCATCGTTAACTTGGTCTTTAACTATTAAACATTTAAAGAAATTAGACAAACAATAATTCGAGCAAATCGAAGCTCAACTCTCTTCACATCCAGGGTATTTACTAGTCAAACACACTCGCGCATACAATCAGGCCAGTCTTAATTGATGTGTCTATGCAAATTGTATCTTTTATATACCCCTGCAGTCGCTGGGAATTAATGAGTTAGATTAAATGTTTTGCATTGGCTTTGATTTAAATTAGAACGAGATCGAGAACCAGAACCAGCACCAGCACCCAGATGGAACGCATAATTCCACATGCATATAAATATAATTCAATTATTGGGGATTTTCTATTTGTGCTTTCGAATTCCAGAGAAAAACTGCAAAAGCGTGTCCAGCAGGTGCCAAGCACCGGCATCGATCTGACTTTGAGCTGCCCGCGAACATAAGTCCCAAGAGCCGATTCCGATTCCAGTTTCGACCAGTAGCTATACGACATGACCGAACGTTTGTACAGGTAAGTACCACCTGTATTAGTAACACCGACAATTACCTGTAAAGGGCACAGTTGTTTACAATATTCAATTGATCTATGTGACGAATTTCGTAAATATACTTATTCCAACTGCTGCACACACTTCGTTATTCTTAAGCGCATAAACTGAGGGTATTAAAGTTTTAACTTAATTGGCATTACATTCCTCACCAAGCTGATTGGCAAAAAAATAATTTATGATGAGTATTTTAAGATTGTTATTGAAATTTTTGCTGTTTTTTTTACGAATTTTTGATTTTATATATATTTCTAGGCACGAGCTCTTGAGAGTTCTAAAATGCTGAAAAAATTTAATTTCATAACGTAAAAGAAACTGAAGTATAAAGCACAGCAGCTTCTATATACAGATTTTATATAACACAATGCTTTTGGGAATATAGAGAAGCGAATAGAAGGGCGCATTATATGTATATGCATAGATATATACATATATTTTTATATAATCAACCAATTATCTATAAATAATTAAATATGATAATATTTTATTGTCAAACAACAAATAAGATATATGAAAATCGCATAGAAAGGCGTTTCATGGCAATAGTAAATGATGACAGCGCGAATTTCCTTCCTAAGGCTTTCCTCTTAAAGTTGCATTCGAATATGATTTACCTATTAAGTACTCTTCCAATAGTATATATATATATATATATATATATGTATATATGTATATATTATGCAGATTTCTTTCTCTGTCACTCACATCTTTCACCTGCCTTTCAGCTGGTCCGGTGATGCTGGCGCCGAGAATCCAGCCGCTGCCTACTATGCAGCCCAATCGCAGCTCTATCCGCCGGCTATGCCGGCCACGGCTCTGTGCGCGGACTACAATAATAATGCCGGAGTTGGAGGCTTGCGTTATTTTAATGGACTGCCTGGGTATACCCCGCCGCCGGGCTTGCTGCCGCACAAGTATACAGGGGGGCCGCCCATGCCCGGCCAACTGGAGGTGTGTCAGTATGCGCACGCGAATGGCAGCGCCAGTTGCTACAATCGCAATCGCTATATGCCCTACAATCACAATCGGGCATGCGCAGCTGCTGCTGCTATGGCGGCGGTCACTGGGCACCCCTTGATGACGATGGCTCAATCTCATCAGCAGCAGCAGCAGCAACAGCAGGGCTTGGGCTTGGGTCCAGGTCCAGCCGCTTATGGCGGCAGCTATCCCCCAGCTTTTGCTCCCATTTACCAGCAGACTACACCTCTGGCCACGCCCACGAGCAGTGGGCCATCAATGACGCCCATCGTGAGCGTTGCAACTAGCAGCGCAGCTGGAGCGGCTGCCACAACAGCAGATTATGGCTATGGCAATGGCTTGATCAATACCATGGCACCCAGCATAGTGCCTGTGGCCTGCTCGGGCGCCTCGACCATGTCCACCAATAGCTGTGCCAGCAGCTCCAATGGCGAGTCAAGCGGACCAACTCATGCCTTCGCCAGTGTGACAGATCCCAGCGATGCGGTCACACTACAAATTACCAATCTGGATTACTCGCTGGATGAGACCAGTTTGCGCAACTTCCTCATGAATCAGCTGAAGCCCATCACGCCAGTCGTCTCGCTTAACTTTGAGGCGAGCAGCTACGCCAAGGTCACCGTGCCGGATCTCTATGTAAGTGCCGATGTCGACTAGGATCTGCTGATAGTAACACTCTGCCTACCCTCCCAGTTCGCCAAGCAGGTGGTGTCCAATTTGCACCGCAAGAAGATTGGCCATAAACGCATGCTGGTTAGCTACACACGCGACTCTTCGCTGACGGAGGTCAATACGCTGCGCTGCCAGGTCGCTGGTCTGCTGAAGGTTGGTATGGAGTATGCGAGCAGACCTTATGCGATCGAATAGCCGAGATTTATAATATTTTTATTTCCCCTTAATCGCCTTAATTAAGCCTCAGGCATTTTCTATACTCTTTATGTATTTCCTTGTCGGGTTTTGACTGCACCAAAATATCTTCCTTAAGTAGGTATCTTTAGCATCAGTTCCTTCATTTTACTTTCTTATAGGGTTTTTATATCTTTATTGATTTCATATTGATTGTTAGTGGTCTGTAAACTGTCAGACAGCATATATAGCCTGTGAGAGTATTAACTATCTACTGCTCACACTAGAAAACTTTATAGCTTAGGATTTGGTATTAAATTATTTTCACTAGATCATCTCAGTTTATGCATATATATTCTTAACTTTCTTCTATAATTTACATAAATATTTAAATGAATTTAAATATTTAAAAATGCATTTTTAAGCTTTTTCTTATATCAGATTCAACAGCTTTGAGCTCTAATTACATTGAATTTTCGTTAGTATTTCAATGTCTTTTTTTCTTTCTTTCCTTCTTCTTGACTCTACATATTTCTAAATTCTTCTCCTTACCTGAATATATATATATATATATTCAATTCAATAATTTTATTACTTATTATCTAACTGCTGTTTTCATTCATGCCTTAGCTCCCATTAAAAAAAACGACTGTTTCTGGTTCCGGGTATCTTCTGGTCGGGCACTCCCGACTTTTTATTATAAATTTTTTAAATTTCTGGCATAATAATTCTTTAAACTAATTTATATTCATTTTACTATAATTAACATAAATTCTTTTTGATCACATCCAACTCCAATTCTCATCTGCCCCTAAATTCCACCTGCCACCTACTTCCCCTGCTTGCTCCACAGGACGTTCCGTATTATACATTGCCCATGTATAAGTTCCGTGAGCTCTTTCAGTCGCGTTTCAAGACCTCAATCAGTGTCCTGGATTTGTACAAGATGCAGGACATCTGCACCATCAATGCGGGCAGTAACGAGGACAAGTTTATTAGTCTACAGCCGGAGCTGGTCAATACGCTGGAGAGCTCGCCCTTGATGGAGGGACTGCAGCACAGTGTGCCCTATTGCACGATTCACTTTAAGCGGGAACAGCACAAGGGCTGGGCTGAGCAGGAGATCGAGCCGTTGCCCAATGTGTGCATGACCATAGCAGAGATACAACAGCTGATCTATCCGCTGTTGAAGCACCACACGGGTGACATACCGGTGGCAACGCTGCTGCACTGCATCGAGGGTCAGCTGAAGGTTCAAATTGCTGCCAACGAGAATGGCGTTAATCTAGAGCATTTAGTCTGCTGTGTCCAGGGCATACAGATACAGGTGAACAATTTCGGCATCAAGATTCTCGGTTGGCTGGAGCTCAACAAGGAGCTATCGACGGGCAGCAGCAGCAGCAGCAGCAGCAGCAATGTCAACCTGAATGGCAGCGAGCGTGGAAATGGCAATGGCGGCTCTAGCGGCTATTTCAAGAACTCTGTGGCCGATCCACTCTTTCAGATCTCACGCGAGGTGATCGAACTGGTGAAAATGTCACCGAAGTCCACGATGAAGTTCAATCGCTTCATACCGGCCTATCACAATCATTTTGGCAAGCAATGCCGCGTCGCAGACTATGGCTATACCAAGCTAATCGAGCTCTTCGAGGCGCTGTCCACGGTGGTGCAGATCATGGGCGATGGCGAGAATCGTCAGATAACGCTCACCCATCGCACTCAGATCAGGCGCTTCACCTCGGATCTGTTGCGCGTGCTGCGCGCCAACGGCAACAATTCGGTGCTGTTGTCCCAATTGCCTGGCATCTTTGCTCAGACGCAGAATCGCAACTTTGACGTTACGGATTATGGTGTCTGCGACATTGTGGACATCTTGGATGGCCTGGTCAATAGCAATATTGTTGTGATCAGCACTGTGCAGCAGGGCAAGGATATACTCATCTCGATGCCCAAACGCAAGCAGACCAACGCTGAGCTGGAGAAGACCAGTGTCTTTGCTGGCGAGATGGTCGAGCTGTTCCAGAATGCACTCCAATATAGCATAACGTTCCAGAAATTCGTGCGCTCCTATCACTATCACTTCGCGTATCAGTGCCGCCTGAGCGACTTCGGATTCGTGAAGCTAGCCGATCTCATGGATGCCATACACGGCGTCGTGGAGCTAGAGCTGTCCAGCGACGAGGACAAGAAGATTGTACTCTCGCCAAAGGTGGCCAGGCGTGTGTTTGCCGAACAATGCGCAGATCTCATACGCAGCGTGACGGGCAACTCAACCAACTCCATGAAATTGGAGCAGGTGCTCAAGTTGCATAAGAAAAAGTTTGGCTATCAAATGCTGCCGCAAACCCTGGGCGCCACAGACATAGCCAGCGCCATGGAGCTGCTGCCCTATGTCGAGTTGGTGAATAAGGAGCAGGCCACCTGGCTGATCTGTCACAATGACGATGCGGAGTTCCGACAGCTGTGCTATCGTGCCTGCAAGCAGCTGCTCCAACGTGAAGCAATGCCCAAAGCCGTACCCGCCGAGTCAACAGCAGCCAAGCCAGAGCCACTCACTCAGGCGCAATTCCTGAGCGATTTCAATGCCAAGCACAAGGTACAGTTGACTGAATCTGCGCTGCATGCCATGCGACATGCCATCGAGGTGAGCTAGCACAACTCTCAGCTGGATATAACTGTAAATGTGTATATAAATTCTCTTAGGTTTATGTCGAGGCGGATCAGCCCTGTGTGCGTCTCACCGCTTTTATGCGCTTCCTGGCGTCCATTGTGCGGCTCCTGGAGCAACGTCCCAGCATGTACTTGTACGAGCTGAAAGCCAGCTTGGACTGTGGCCTAGGCAGCACCTTTGAATATGGCTTTCCCAATTTGTATTCGGTGATTGTGGCCCACGATGATCTCTTTACCATCAATATGGGTGCCACGCAGGAGCGCAGCGATGTGGCCTTGAATGTGAACTGCGAATGTGAGTGAACAACTAGATGAAAGAGTTAAATTAGAACTTATTACGTCTCTTACAGTGCGCCTTGGATCGGGTGCCACGCATCAGCATCTGTTTGGCTCACTGAAGCTGCCCTATGCCAGGCACAAGGCTCAGCGCAGCGCGCGCACTCCGCTGGGCGAGCACAACCGGCCGCCGCCCGCCCAGGCGCCGCCACCGCACAAGACTCGCGCCATTGCCAATGAGTACGCGAACAGCATTGGCGGTGGCTGCAATGGCGCCTATAAGCCGCAGGTGTCCGTTAACAGCTTCCAGGCATACCAGGAACAATTGGCAGCCAACTCGAAGTGCTCGCCGCCCAGTGCCAACAGCTCAGTGCTGTCATCCACGATGTTGAACAGCTCGCTGTGCAGCAATTGCAGCAACAAGGAGAACTTGCTCAACAGCTCGCAGCAATTCTTTCACAACAGCAGCAGTGGCAGCAGCAGCAGCAGCAACAGTTCTTTTAACACATCCTGTGAGCTAAACAGCAGCCTCTGCGCTGCCGATGTTACCTCCAGCACGGCTATAACCCAAGCCGTGCCCTATGCTCAGACGGGCAAGTTATGGTATCGTCGCCAGGCCAGCTTCTATCAACAACAGCAGCTGCAGCAGCAGCAGCAGCAGCGCCAACGTCAACAGCAGCATATGTCAGCATTGCTGCCGCATCACCTGGACTCTGGACGAGATTTGTATGACTTGAATGTGGCGCCCTTTAGCTCCTGCTATGAGCCACCCAAGCCCGATACGCCGCCGTCGGAGGTAAGTGCTCTCTAAATCAAATACAAATCTGTATATAGAGTATTTATATATAATTAAATTTGCACTAGAAACTGCCATTCTGGATCGATCCCATATGGAGCAATCAGTCGCAGCAGCCAAAGCAGAACTTGCTCAACATACGTCTGCCGGAGCTCAAAGCTCTCAATGTTATGCCCATGCTCTTATCGCCTTATACCATATCCAAGCATGTGAATATGAAGCGACAGATGTTTAACTTTGATAATCACGATCGTAAGATAGCCTAAGCATAGATCTTAAGTACAACTAAAGAGTGGAATATCCAAACTTCCACTTTTCATCTAAATTGGTTCCTGGCGAGCCTTAAAATTGTTACAATTTGATTTCGATAAGCAAAATTTTTGTCTCCATTAAATGCCTCGGTTATGCCTTGATACTACAAGAATAACGAGGATATATTATATAAGATTGCTTTCTTTTTTTTATAAATTTGTTATACGGATCACAATCAACACATTTTGTATTTTACTTTTAAGCTAAAGCTTGTAAATTGCTCAACAATATAGAGCCAAAATTAGAAAAATATATATATTTTTTGATCGATCTGTCGAAGAGAGTTTTCGAGGATCTGTAATTAGCAAAAGAGTTGCACATTGAGTCAATTTCTAGCATTTATTTATTTATATTAAAAATGTCTGAATCTTAAAAATTTGGAGCGACTTGACGAAATATTGCGTTGGCCAGCTCGATTCCAAAGAAGGTCGCCGCATTAGCCGGGAAGGCACGAAGTATAACCGGTGTAAAGCCACTGAAAGCGTTAACAAAAAAGCTTAATATGTATCAATGACAGATATTTAATAGAAGCAAATACTAACCGATATAGCACAGAGATGCCGTCATTTTTCATTAAGTCTTTAAAAACGGCTCTAACGCCATCGAATTGACCCTCGGGAGCTGAGAGATCAGATTTCGATTAGTGTAAACTACAAACTTATCTAAATGATGTTAGAGCTGCGCTGTCTACTTACCAGATTGTAAACGACTTTTGAGCACATCGGCTGGCATGCCGCCAATCCAGTAGAATATGCCCGCCAATCCACCTGCGACAATAGCCGCAATTAGATCAACATTGGGTCGATTAAAACGCCGTTTGTACTCATCCGTAAAGATCTCATAGCTGAGAAAGTACAGTCCGTTAGCGGGTATATCTAGAAAACAAATATAGACGCATTTGTAGTTCAAATCGCATGTAGAGGGTAAGCGAAAGAAATTATCGTGTCATACTCGCTGAGTCGGCGGCCAATATAATTGCCATGTGCTCGTTGTGCTTACGATGTGTGTTAATAACGTGTCGGTGTCGATTAGATTACAATTCACTTTTCTGTATATTGTAGCTGCATTAAATGCGATCCAATTAATGTGGACTAATTGGTACCTAGACGAATCGAAGACAACACGCGCTGCCACAGCACCCAGTGCCCATTAGACTGAGCTCTTGCCGCTCAAACTGGAACTTGTTAAGTTTGTAATCAATTTAAAATTGATTAAGCTTAACATAAACTAACTTGAGTCTTCAAACAGTACAGTGCTTGTTAAAAGTACACTGCATCTGCTTTACAATGAAACATATATGTGCTACATTTTTAGCCATATTTTTTTCAATTTTAAGTTTATCAAATACAAAATTTGATTTAACATTAAACTTAAGACTTTAAGCCATTTTCTTTTCGCTTGTCTATATATATATATATAGTACATATTAAAAATTGTACAAAAATAGCTTCAAATATATGAAAATGTTATTTGAAACATATTAAAGCGAACTGAGCAAGCAGTTCAAGCTGTGCTTGATCCGAGCTTAATTCTTAATTCTTAAATTAAATGTAAACTATTTTCTACATATTTAACAATTGACGAATATTTAAAAACAATTTTCTGTTTATTTAATTTACATAGTATTTTTGTTTTCACACGACTAACACTTAACTTTTAGCTTGAACATTAATAAAAAAAAGCCCTGGGTCTACCTGTGATTTGGGAAAGTAACGATTAAAAAATCTTTCTTTACTAGAAATTAGGTGCCACCAAATTGAAGAAGTTATTGGCCAACTCAATGCCAAAGAAACAGGCCGCATTGGCTGGGAAGGCACGTATCATAATGGGCGTAACGCCGCGATACAGAGCTAATGGACCATCCTTGACAATCAAATCCTTGAACACGCTGCGCACGCCGTGCTTGTATGTGCCCTCAGGTGCTGCAAGCAAGTTGATATGCATCAAAATTAAATGTTTCAAATATGATTCAAATATATCGTACTTACCCGACTGCAGACGACTCTTGAGCACATCAGCAGGCATGCCCAAAATCCAATAGGCAATGCCCGCGGCACCGCCCGCAAATATGGTCGAGGCAGTGTTTATTTCGCCCGTCTTCGAGTGGGCCTTGGTCACATCCTGTATGTACTCATAGACCAGGAAATAGAGCCCATTAGCAGGCAGATCTAGAAAAACATGTTAAGCAACATTTCGTTAATCGAATATATGAAGCATATTGCATAGACTTTCTATAGCTACTTAAGTTACAGTTATTGCTTACATATTGCTCTGCTTATGTTATTATAAATTTCTTAATTCTTGATTCTTGATTCTTGATTCTAGCTTGACTTGGCGTTCTGGAACTATGATGGGGCTGTGAGAAATTATTTATATCTTGCCATGGGAATCGCGCGGCGACATCAACGGCGCCATAAATATCTTGTTTATTGCAATATAGTAAATCCGAATGAACTATATACTACAACAACTACACACAACCGCAGACACAGGCACCGACACACATTGTGCGAAGAAAAACATAAACAAGTTACAGTGGGTTGGGTTTGAAACGCAAATAGATTTAAATAACAATAACAAGCCAACTCAACTTACAAAAAATCGTAACTGAATAAAATTAAATAAACAAAAATAAATTTGTTTATTTAAATGTTTAAATTAACAAGACAAGTTTTAAACAATTAAATACAAAAAAGAATAAAAATAAATATATAAATATTTATTTGACAAAAGCATATAAATTAATTATTTTTTATTTACTTTTTTCTCTTGTTATATATTTATATATTTTTAACTTAGCGTGAAATTAAATCTTTTAACAACAATTTATAATTTTATATGTATTTATAATTATTAAATTATACTATAAATTTTATATGTTTATTATTATCGTTTAAACTTATTTTGAATATATATTAAACGGGTTCCAAATCATTTGTTTTTTTGCGTAGTTTTTAAAGTAATGCAAATTACTTAAATATCTTGATTTAATTTAAATTCAAAAATAAACTTTATAATACAATTAAGCTTAGGCTTAATTCATTTTTTTTAAATCTAACTAATAGAGCAATATCATATAAAATATTGTCATAATCGAGATAGTCTTCAATTGCGTATATTTATTTATATTATTAGGATTATTCCAATTCGTTTTTAACTTGAATTAATATAAGATTATTTTATTAACTTTATATTTATTTTATTTATATAATAAATATATAAATTATAATATAAATTATATAGATTATATATAAAATGATCTACAAATAAATATATAATTTTAAATATTTGTCGTGTGGTATTTAGAGTTCGTTTTGAAAAATGACTTGTGACAAAACCAATTTCCAAAACAAACTCTGAATAGTACAAAACAAATATTTAATATTATATAATACTAAAAGTAACTATATTAGCAAAAATTCAAATTTAACTTAAATACATTCACATCTTTCACTAAAATCTTAAATTTTATATTCGAATTAGATACCAATAGCTAAGCATATTATAACCAAGTCAGCTTTAAAGCTGGGAATATACCTTTAGTAGCTGTCTTCAGTTACTAAGCCAAATTTTCATTCTTCACTTTTCGAAGCTCAACTATAAGCATAAGAAAAGAAGAAGAGAGAGAGCGAGAGAAATAGGGTTTATTAAAGAATTTGTTTCATCGCACAAACGCGACCTTGTGCTCATTGGAAGTCGTGGAGAAACTTCTCAAACCGACGCCCATTATATACATACATATATACGATATATACATACACACACAAGCACACACATACATCTTTATATGCATATATAAGCAGCGTTTTATCGAAGGATGTCACAATCAGAAATATGTATTTCCGTTAAAGCAAAAATTATACTGGAATACATAAAAAAATATATATGAAATTACAATAACAATAGGAGTTCAAATTTGTTTTCGCTCTCAGTCTGATGGGAACCATGAGGCTGCGTTTTAGTATATGAACGGAATTCGAGGCAAGTGTACCTGCCTGGGTAGCGGAATAGAGAAGTCTTTGCGCCAGTGCTTGCCAAACTGTGCGATAAACGATAAAGATGTTATCGGTGACGAGTCTGATAAGAGTGCTAATCGTGCTGCTGCTAGTGAGTGACCCGAACATACTAATACTGATATGATATGCAATGATATATGTGGTTAAACTCTATATGCAACAGCGCTGCCAGCTACAGTCAGCCCTGCCACAGCCGGAGGCAACTGTGGAGCTGGATGTGCTTAGCTGCCCGACGAGCTGCGTCTGCCAGTATGCCGCCTTCAATGAGCTGCCCATCGCACGCTGGGTGAATCACATGACCAGCGTGGATGCTGCGGATGATGCCGACTTCCTACTGACCACACACATCAAGCTGGCAACATGTCTGCTGCAGGAGGAGAGCGAGACGCTGGCGCTGCTCAGCGCCTTGCCCATCGACCTGCAGGCGCTAATCCTGATGCATACGGGCAGCCCGGGCAGCCGGCTAACAGGTGAGTCTTGGCTTCAGCATCATACTAAATAAACTTAAATAAGCTTTAAAAGCTTTTTTAAAGAATTTGAGAGCAGTGAGAAAGGTTTTCTTTGAGGTAGTCAAAACTTTAGTGTATTGGGAAAAGAAATTGATTAAATCTAAGCTTTAAGAAGAAGAGTTTAAATTATACAGATAAACATTGAAAATAATCAAATTTTGAGAAAAGTTACTGAAGTTTTAAAGCTATTAAATGCAGCTTTTGTCATCAAATAGAAACTTCTAAACTATTCAAGTTCCTAAGCAAGCTCAAGTTTTAGCTGCTTCCTAAAAGCTCCTTAAAGCTTAAATAGTAATATGCACATAAAACTTATAAGCCACAAGCATACTTAACAAATTGCTTATTCAGTAAGTCAAATAATAAATTTATTATATACCGAATCGCACTGATCTAAATCCCTGAATTAATCCAAAGCTTGAGCTAATGTTAACAATAATCTGCGCTTGCAGTGAATACGAGCAGTTTGCATGCCCTCAACCAGCTGAGCACGCTGGAAATACGCGGCTCAGGCACCACCACACTGAACATCGATGAGCCGCTGGAGTTTTTGCAGAATGCCAACTTCGAGCAGGTCACGTTGCAGGCGAGCGAACGATTGGAGCGGCCGCAGCACTCAAAGCTGCCCAGCGATGACTACGAGTACAAGCCGCCCAGTGATGTGGCTGGCAACGAGGCCACGCCCAAATATCAGTTGCAGTTCGAAGCGGATGCCGCCGTGGAGATCATGAGCTATGAACAGCATGTGGAGCGGCTGAAGCAGACGCGCATGCCCAGCTTCTGGGGCTGGAGCCAGCTGGAGGTGTTGCGCATCCACAATTGCCAGCTGAGCGAGCTGCACTGGCAAATGTTCGACGGTCTGACACAGCTGCATCACTTGAGTCTCGAACGCAATGGCATCGAGGAGTTGCAACCGTTTGCCTTCAGCGGCGCGCCACATCTGAAAAGCCTCTCGCTGGCACACAATGCGGTCACACGGCTGTATTACTTGGGCCTGGCTGGACTGCTGGAGCTAGAGACGCTCAATCTAGCCGACAATCATTTGGAGCGCCTGAGCGAGTCGAGTTTTCCGCCCCTGCCACGTCTGCTCAAAGCTGATCTGAGAGAGAATCCCATTATGTACATATTGCCGGCCACGTTTTGGGTCATGAACGATACGCGTGAGCTGCTGCTGGGCAGTGAGCTGGCAGCCTTGGAGCTGCGCAGCTGGAATAGCTATGGACAATTCGATTCGCTGCACAAACTGCGCAAGCTGAGCCTGACCAATGTGAGCACCGCCAGCTTGGAGCAGGGCGTCTTTAAGGTATGATCAAATGGAGAGCAGCTAACAGAGCGGTCATTATGCATGTCATCTTCTCTCTGCAGGGTCTCCATGCGCTGGAGCAACTAACGCTGCGTGGCAACATTGGCAGCGTGCAGTTCGATGCCTTCGCCGGCATGGAACAGCTGCGCGAACTGGACCTCAGCCATTGTGGCATTGTGGAGCTGTCTATGGACGCGCTGCTGGGCGTGAAGCGGCTGGAGCTGCTTAATTTGGCGCACAATAATTTGACGCATGTGCCGAATGGACTGCTCGACGATCAGCTGCAGCTGGAGGTGGTGCAGCTGCAGGCCAATCAGCTGCGCACGCTGCCCACAACTTTTTTCCAGCAGCCGCGTTTGCGTGTGGCGCGTCTCGATCAGAATCCCTGGCAGTGTGACTGCGACATGAGCAACTGGCTGCCGCGACTCACGAACGTGATGCGCGGCCCCAGCGTCGAGCGTTGTGTGCGCGACATCAATGGCGAGCCGATGCTCTGCCGGCACGTGGTCAGCTATGAGACGGACAAGAAACTGGTGCCACGTTGTGCCAACTACAATGGACGCAGCGTTTACTATGTGCTGCGCAGGCAGCTTCACTGTGGAGCCCCATCCATACTGGCGCCCTCGAAGGGAGGCAGCACGCGCGGCCTGCCCCATTGGCGTAAATTGGAGCTGCAACAGCAGCACAAGCTGGGCTCCAAGAAGAAGCAGCATCCGCACAAGAAACAACGCAAATCTCACTTGGCGCAAAGAAACAATTTGGAACACATTTTGAAAGATCAGCAAAAACTACAGAACGAAGCAGCCTCGACTCAAACCGATAGCCAGCAAATGTCCAATGAGATTTAATAACAACAAGCACACACACACACCCACACACACACACACACACACTCGCACTTAGTTTAGCTTTAAGTTGAATTTCAATAATTATGAATCTTTAATACGCAAACAACTAATTAGAATTAATAAAATAAATATTTAAGTACAATTAGGAAATATTAAACAGGAAATATTTAAATGTGAACTGTTTAGCGATGCGATCAGAGAAACCTTAAAGAAGTTCATAAAAAGAATAAAGAACTATGGAAGAACTTAAAACCTTCTAGACATAGCACTTAGAAGCCCTGCTATGTGAGAGCTGCTTGCTTAAAGGAGTTACGGAGTTTGGAACGGGTTTACTTATCTAATAGAACAAAAGCTTGTAATTGAAGCGCCTTAGCTAAATATACTTTAAAAACTATTATACTAGACCGAATCTTATATCAGATGATTCATGCTATAAATAGATATGATACAGATATCAGACCTTGACTCGATTTTTGTTTATATCCAAAAACAGAATTCCAGTTGTAAATATTAAAATTGATAAAAACATAAAAATTGAAAACTAAATTTTTAATACATCGTTTCTATAAGAGCTTAACGATAAGCTTCCCATATATACCAGAAGCATTTAACTTATAGATCAAGCCGAAAAATTCTTCATACAATAACTAAATTTTTACTCTGAATAATCCCGAGTTCCTACGACAGATATACATATACATATATATATACGACAGATACACACACACATATATATATATATATATATATATATATAAGAAACATAGTAAAACTACAGACATTCCTTTGATACTCTAGATATTCTTAGCAGCAAAAAAGTTGCTTATATAAAAACCAATCTTTGACTGATGGCAACTAATAAATATAGTTAGCCAAAATCGATCAATTTATCATGAGCATTATGAAAATATTAAAAATAAAATTTGATAAAGGTATGTAAAATTGTTCCAACAAGAAGGTTATTCATTACAGTTAAATTAGACTATAAATTTGTCTATATAGTTAGAGTTATATCTACACTGTTGAGCTCAATCAGATGCGACATTGGCAACATTTCATTGCATGATAAATCCCCATTATAATGCCCATTATAGCTGTATTCATCGAAGCCCAATACAGTAGCAGAATATATAAATAGAATTTATACTAATAGCTTTGATGACATTCTTGATTTCAAGACCTTTTTTAATTGAACTGCAAAATCTCACTCACCTCTAAGCATCGTTGCGCAGCTACCTTTGAAAACACTCCGGAGACCGCCCTCCTTATACAGTTTGCCAGCACAGTCGATCATGCCGGTGTACTTCTTTTCGCCCCCGGGGCCAATGCCCTGGGTTTGCAATAGCACTTTGATGCGCTCACCAGGCGCCATGATAAACGTAGAGAAGAGGCCAGAGAACGAGCCAGCGACAAAGATTTGAGGATAGGTCAGCTTAGAGTCCTCGCCGCGCTGCTGCAGTCGTTTGCCTAGAGCATAGCCAGCAAAGCACATCGCAAAAATGGGCGCCACACCAGTAAGTGGTGCAGACATGCCCTTGTACAGGCCGCGCACGCCCTCGTTGCGTATGGTCTTGGTGGCACAGTCTAAGGTGCCGCTATACAAGGGCTTCTCACCAGGCGCTGGCCGTGGCATTGTTTGCAAACGTACCTAAGCAACAGAGCAAGCATGTTAGACAGTCGACTGGCAGCTCGTGTCACAGTAAACTCACCTTAATCGTGTCGAGAGGATGGCCAGAGAGCACATTGCATATGCCGCCAAAGCCGCCAGTGATGAACGATTTAAACGGATTAGCTTTGCGTTCTGCAGGCGCATTATCAGTCTTCTGAGCACTTGCCATTACTTACGTCTTTATGAGTCTGTAAATAGAAAGTTTTAATTAGATTTTATTTACATAACGCGTACGGTTAGAATACAATATTAATGTGATATATAAAGGTAAATAAATGCGCCAGTCAGATGTGGGTACGTATTATCTTTAGGGTTCCAAACAAAAAAAAAACGTATTCAAATCATTAACTAAATGCCAGGGGTCATCTATATATTAATACATGTCAGCTTTTTCCACATATAACCCGTAGAAAAGTAATTATATCTATATGGCATATATATGCATATACCCAACTAGATGCAGACACGTATGTAAGCAGATATGTCAATATTTCGTAAAGGCTTTACTGGAATTTGCACTCTGCCTGCAATCACATTGCTTAATCTCTAGTGGTCATTGTACGAAAGCTGATAAGGATTAGTGGAAATTAGTGTGCGAAGCCCAGACATATAACGCCCAAAGTTGAAAGTTGAACTTCAGCGACGATTAACAAATCCTGTTTCACTTACCTGATACAAATAAATATGCTAAAAAATATCGTCGTGGCGACAGTGATTGCGAGCGAGTGGAAATGAGTAAGGCGCAGCAGAACCTGTTGCGGACAGCAGTACAAGATGTCGACTGTTTCGACTCGGAGAGCGGCGCCTGTGAAGTTGAGTAGTGGGTTATGTTATCAGCATTGAAGATGTTTTGACATTTTGGCAGCGATATAGTTACGTACCTGGGGAATACTAAAATTTGCTTAACTAAAGCAGCATTGCCGGCACCGGGTTCAAAGTCCGTTATTGATGACCGTTTGAACCGAAATCACATCTACTCCAAGCATCGGCGACCTTTCCTATTACAGACAGTTTCCGTCAAGTCGCTGTATGGAATTTGATTACTTTATAATCATTAAAGTATGATTTTTTAATTTACCCAAATCTCAACGAAATGTGTTCTGTAATTAAAACTAGAGATGTGAAAACCTAATACTACACGATCCAAAATATGTGTGAAAAAAACCAAGTCAAAAAATTTCTTTCCTTAAACGAACCAACTAAACATGCAAAAAATTTCTAACCAGCACGATTAACAACGTCAATCTTACTAAAAATTATAAAGTGTATTAAATTAATTTTAACTCTTTGACAAGCACGACTTTTGAGTGTCATAATAAATGAACCGGTTTCATCTCTATTGTATGCTGTCAACAAGGGCTGCCAACCTGTTTTTAAATGTAAGTATTTCCACAGCTGTTGGCACCTGCCCGGCAATTCAAACAAATGCATATGTATGTAGTGTATCAAAACATACATTTAATTACATAATTTATACACTTATACATAAGTAAAACATATAGCATCTATATGGCCAACAACTGTTAGATCCTTACTCTAAAATGTTAACAAATCATTGGCCAGCTCAACGCCAATAAATACAGCTGCGGTTGAAGGGAAAGCTCGTATCAATATTGGCAGGGCACCGCGGTACAATGCCTTGGGTCCCTCTCTGGCCATCAGTTCCTTGAACACACTTCGGATGCCATGCTGATATCTGCCCTCAGGCGCTACACAAAACAAAGAGTCAGCATAATTTTTAAACATATATGATGTGTTCAACTAACCAGATTGCAATCGACTTTTAAGTACATCAAAAGGCACAGCCAATGACCAGAATGCAATGCCAGCCATGCCGCCAGAAAAGATGGTCGATGTGGGCGTTATACTACCTGATGTTGCGTGCTGTCTGGCTAAATCTTGCAGGCCCTCATACACAACGAAATATATACCTGTTGGTGAATCTGTAAGAAATAAGGTTGTCAAATATGTACAGATAAAAATCATGCCACACTCACCTCTCAGCACGCAAGCACAGGTACCTTTAAAGAGACTTCGCATACCACCTTGTCTATAAAGCTTTAGTGCAGTGTCTATTAAGCCATTGTACATGGTTGGCCCTGTCACTGGCTGTGTTTGAAGCAATACCTTAATGCGATCTGTTGGCACCGTAACTAGAGCTGAGCAAATGCCCGCACCAACACCGGCCATAAAAATTTGAGAATAGGTCAGCTTAACGTGTTCATCGGTTTGAAAAAGTCGTTTCCCTGCGGCATAGACAGCAAAATCTACAGCATAAATGGGTGTGACGCCTATTAATGGTGCAGAAATGCCTCTATAGAAGCCACGAACACCCTCACGACTAAAGGTTTTCACTGTACAATCGACGATGCCTTTGTATTTGGGCGGCTGTCCAGCTGCTGGCAGCGGCATTGTCTGCAGTCGCACCTGATAGTAAACAAATATTTGCAAGTTACTATTTGCTATTATAAAACAACGCAACTCACCTTGATTGTATCCAGTGGGTAACCTGTTAACACACTGCATATTCCACCAAATCCGCCAGCTATAAAAGATTTAACAGGATTCGCTTTGTCATCGCTAATGGGCACCTCCATGACTAACTACTATTTACGTAAACGAAGCTAAAATATCGTCAGCCAGTCTTGAGATGAGTACTGAGTAATTGATACATGCACGTGTAGTGAGTGTTGTTTGGGTTATGTTATCAGTGAGCTGAGCTGTTGCTGCCTAATAATGCTAATCGAATTGTGGATTTCTTCGGCGAGCTCAATTTCCATTTCGATGTCACAGCAGCACATCCAGTCTTATCAACTTAAACCCGTATGTCTAATGGCAAACACTTACATTCTGCTAACCTGTTATTAACAGTGGATATAAATCTTATACTGTTACAAAAATTCACTCATATTTCAGTGTTATAAAATGACTAATATATAGTGATTTCAATTTGACTAAAAGCAATATAGGCACTTTTTATATCTGGCGGGTGAAAGCTAAAGGACCTAAATTAAATAAGACAGATATAACCCAATCGAAATAAGGAGATAACTCATAACGATTTCAACTTACAATGATAGCTTTTGCTTTTTTAAAGCAGATGGGGACAATATCTAAAGTGAATTAGTCTTGTGGAACTGATTTGTGCATGTACCTTATAAAAACAACAAGAATTTCGAACAATACAAATTAAGAATACATTTATTTTACTTTTTAATTTGGAATTTTCTTTGAAGACAGAATTTGTACAATGTGTTATAAAGTTGACAACTTTACTTCCATTTTAATAATTCTCTATTACATATATAACTTGGTCTAAAAGTTTTAGTTGGGACACCATCAGCGTTCTTGCTTGTAAGAAAAGAGTTAATAAATATTGTTTTGTATGACATTTAAAAAATTCATTTGCCAATTTGATGTGCTGCTAATACTTATCGATAATTCTAATAAAATCGACATTCGCAGCGAATCGTTAAATACACTTTTCACTTTAAATGAACGAAAACAATAAAAATAAAGTCAAAAAATGCATAAAAAACAATTTAAAATTGGAGTTTAATTCAAATTTACATCTATAATTAATTAACATAACTCAAGTTTATTGCTATCGAGCCTATCGAGTGTGCCACTGCAGGGCTGCCAGAGTGAGCTAAAAATTGTTGCGTATGCGTGTGCGAAGCATATGCATAGCATATTTTATTGTTTAAAACAATCTATTTGTGCAAAAAGTTGTGCAAAAACATATGTAGAACTTATGTCTGATACAAGTGCTCTGGAATTATGTATCAGTTGTAGTGCGAGCTGCAGTAGCAGGCGCAAAAGAAGAAAGTGAAGCGCTACAACAACAACAACAGCAGCAGCAGCAGCAACAACAAAAAACAGCAGCAACAAATTTTGTAAAAGCGAAAAAGAAAATTAGACATACATATATTTGTACACAATCAAACGCACACGCAACGTGCTCGCAACAGCCCAATAAAAAATTCAAGGAAGAAAATAAAGCGATTGCAATGTCCAATGGAGACGATGTGCTAGACAACTGGGAAGAAATTGACGAGGCAGGCGTGAGTATAGAATGACATTACAACAACAAACAGCAACAACAACAAAACAGCAACAACAACAAAATCGTCAAAAATGCTCTCTCGAATCTCTTATAGCTTTGCATGACGCTGCAAACGAAATTGCAAACCGCCAACGACGACGCCAGTAGCAAATTTAAGCCCGCCTCAACAACTGAGACAGCAGCCTCTAGCAAAATGAAATTACTTCAACGGCCACAGGGTCTGCAGGAGAGCAGTGGCTCGACTTCCACAGTCGTTGCGGTGGCGCCCAAACAAATCATGATTGCCAAGAAGCCAACGTCAGCGAGCTCATTGGATGACGAATCGAGCACGCCTCCCGTTATGATGGTGCTGCACAAGTCGAACAGCGAGTATGATGCTGCCAACTATGCCACGCCTATTAGTAATCAAACGGTCAAAATATTGCGACGACCCGCACAGGCCGAAGAGCGTCGCGATACTAATGGCATACGACCCAAGCAGCCCATCAAAACGCTGCAACAGCGTGAACAGGAATACGCACAGGCCCGTCTCCGAATACTCGGAAGCGCCAAAAATCCAGAGGACGATAAACCGTTAGTATTTTAACTTTGTAATCTTTAATGTTCCTGTGATACTGCCAGCTCTTATTTGCAGATATCGCAATTACTTCAATATAGATTGTTTCGTTGATGCTGTCATCTCACAATGAACATGCTTTTGCTATTTATGGTCATATCCTTCCTTAACGCTTATGTCTCCTACCTTTCCAGTAGCTGTTATAGTTCTGGTATAAGAGAGCCGTCTATAGAGACAGACTGTCATCAATAGATTAGTAGATAAGGCCATTTACGACCGTTAGCTATATATATATATCTACTTGTATTCCAATCGGAACGTTCTATTATATCAGCTTTGTTATGTTGTCTTTGATAAACTAGATAAAGATAAGATATCTTAAAGCCGCCATGGAAACGATTGAATGATTTAATGATTCCCTTTATATAAGTAATGAATCCTTCAATAGAATTCATGCCATTTTACTTGAGCAGTTTCTATACTTTCCTTAAAAAACTAACTTTCTATGCAAACGATCTATTACGTCTTGACCATTATTACACTAATATACGATATCTTTATAATGCAGTGCTGCGGCCGCAACGCTGGTGGTGCTATCAACCCAAGTGCAGCCGGAGGTGACGACAACGCCGGCATTCAACTTCAATAACAATAATAACAACAGTGGCATTCAGTCAGTTAGTAATGCGCCTGGCATGCATCGTTCCACGTCGGCGCCAAAGATGTCGCAAACACCGCCCATCTACAACAATTACAACAATTACTATCAGCCGCCGCCAAACACAACTGCCATGGGCTATTTCTATCAGCAGACACCGTCGATGCATCAGCCACACCAACAGCAGCAGCATCAGCATCAGCAAACGTCGCCACAATCGCTGGCGCACTACAATCAACGCTTGTCGCAATACATGACAGGCGCCACTGTGACAGCAGCAGCAGCTGCAACCGCCAATCCTCAACAGAGTTGGTCACCGGTTGTGGGTGGCAGCGTTTCGGCGGCGCTGTTGCGCCAACAATCGTTGCATACACCATCGTTGCAACAGCATCAGGCACAGCCACCGCCGCCCCAATATGCGCATCCATACAATGATAACGTTTTGCGGCTGCCACGTGGTCCGTGCCCCAACGGCACAATTGGTTTTCAGATGCGTCGGTAACAGGCGGCTGGATGGATGCGACAGAATTATCTATTATTTCAATTATCCCATGCCAATTGAACGCATGCATTCAAAATTGTCATTTCTGAGATTGCATTAAGTAATTTGTTTTGCTTTATATATTTATTCATTTTTACATGTGGCACATTTAAGCGCTGCAATCAACCAACTATGTAAACAAATTTATGACGGAGTTTGGTAGTTATCTTGTAAATTTACAAACAAAAACATCAACAACAAAAAAGAAAATTACAATTTTTTAATGCCTACTAATAATAATAACAAAAAAGCAAAAACCGAAAGAAAATACATATTTTACAAAACGAGAAAATGTTACTTGATTGCGATGATATATCATTTCGAATTTGTTTATATATCTCAAAAATATTTGTATATGACGGATGTGGTAAGTATTTATAGAATATTTGATAATATATTGAATATCTAATTGTAAGGCTTATTTAAATGCTTATCCAAAGAAACATTACATTATTGTATTGCAGATCGGGTGTTATATAGTTTGTTTAAATTTAAAATGTTGGTATTAGAAAATTTATTTTAAAAATTTTTATGTCTTAACGGGGAGTATTCAAAAAACTATATAAATGAAATATTTTTGCATCATTAATCAGGTAAGTATTGATATAGAGCTTGCTGATATTAAAAGTGATACTATCAAATCGCATTTACAAATCGTTTGGTTTGGGTTAATAGCATGATTTAGAAATTTTACAAAAATTTATTAGATTAGAAATATGGAATTCAAAAATAAAAAAACCCTAAGGAAACTGTCTTTGTTTACATAGTTTCATTGTTTACCTATAGAAATTATATTTTATAATTTTTGATATGGGAATTTCAAGATTACGAATATCTTTGTAGTTACTCAGTCAAAAAAATGTAATTTTAAGCTTTAATAAATTAACGGAAAATAAAAACATGTGTACACATTTGTGCATACACGATCAATATGGAAAATAAGAAATATTTATTTGGGATTCAGTGCATTGATCTCAGATTATATATATTTATTTCCGTAATTGATACAGGGTCATAAATTTTGCGGCTGACGATTGGATTTGAGCTTATTAAACACTTAAACAATATCATCCAGTTGATCGAAGTTTCACACTTTTTGCCAGTGGCGTATAATTAGAAATGCATAAAATATAAAGTGTAAAAAATGTGGTTTACTTAATGAAAAACGTCAAAAGCTGTGCTGATTACTGCAGCTGCACTTACCCCCACGGGCTGTACGGTTAAGGCCCCGCAAAGGTTATCGTGGTGTTTTTGTTATTTTCCAAAGGTTTCTTCTGTCTCACAATAACAAAAACACGAGATGCATTGCAGTTTAGGATCGACGCCAACGACTTTCCAGCCAGCTTATCAGCGCGCAGCAACGACAAATTTAAGGCGAGTAACAGTGTGAGTGAGAGAGAGGGAGAGAGAGCGTAACATAATCAACTGGCGTCGCACCTATGCCTGTCTACTATTTTCGCTTTTTTTTTGCCTACACATAAAGTATTTAATTCAATCCAGTTTCAGTTGAAAACTCGGCGTCGTGCGGTGCGGTTTATTGTTAGCAAAGAACGACGAAAGCAGCATAAGAAACATAGCTGAAAAGAGATTAGGCAAAAGCCACGCTCTTTCACACTCTCTCGCTCAATACGCTCTTTGTTGGTCGTGCGTGCCAAAAATCGCCACAGATCGGAACACGTGGGCACGCGGCAAGCAGCAAACAACAAACTAAACAATTTAAGATTATTTCCCGTGATTAAAACGTGCAGAGCTTTCTGATTGTTATTGTGCTTTAATATTAGCAAACAGAGAAAATGTCAAATCACGTGCTGGTCGTCGGTAGTGGCGGACGTGAGCACGCCATCTGTTGGAAGCTCCAGCAATCGCCGCTAGTGTCGCAAATCTATGCGCTGCCGGGCAGCTTTGGCATTGGGCAGCTGGGCGCAAAGTGCCAGAGTTTAGGCACCGACGCAGTGGATGCGAAGGATTTTGAGGTGAGTGCAGCGTACGCTCCGGAGGTTTGTCGTGGTTTGCGCATAGTCAGTGATCCAATGTAGTCGCGCTCTGTGCTTACTGTCCTTCACTTAACCTTCGAGTCGGGCTTAAAGTTACACTGCGTCGCTGCTATGGCGGATGCAGCAACGGCGATGCGCTGCAAATTTATCAACATTTTATTGCTATTTTTTTATATACCTGCTTTTGACATTTTCTTTTATGGTACTCAGTTAATTTGGTTTTAATGCTAAACGGGGCTCATAAGTGGATCCAATCAAAACCATAACAGTGGTCAATCTGTGCATTCTCAAACTATATGCATGTGCCTATGTGTAGCATTTTGTGCCTGTGTGTGTGTGTGTGCGTGCAAGAGTCTATTTAACCCTTAAGCGGTACAGTGTACTAAAGCGCATGATTTGCTGCTTAACCTTGAGGCGACAGATCTAAAGTTTTTTCATTGATGAAATATGAATAAAGTAAAATGTGGTTTCTTTTATATACGTTTAAAATTCATATTTCTTATTGATTAGTTTATTTTTAATTGGCTTATTAAAATGAAACATTTATAAATGTAATAAAAAAAATAAAAATAGAATTATATAAAAAATGAAATGAGTAAATAACTAAAAAACAAAATATTGAAATTAAAACAAAAAAAAAACAGCTTTTTAATTAAAGGAAATTGCAGATTTCCGTATCTATATATAATATAGCTCGCATTTAAAACATAAAAAATGCAAATAGGGTAATGTATATATATATAAATAACAATTTTGTTACACTATGCAATACCAAAAAAAAAAAAAAAAAAAAAAAAATATATATATATATATATATATATATATATATAAAAATTTTTTTTTTTTTTTTTGGTATTGCATAGTGTAACAAAATTATTATTTATGTCATGGAAAGAACTACCTATTTGAAAATGTATTGAAATACACGTGTTTATTGATAGATTTCTTGATAATATAATAAGCTTTATATATTGCCTATCAGCTTCGGCAGGCAAATTGTCAAATTAATGCATAATTTATAGTAAATAACTCAGTATTTCATATAAATCAATCGAATCACCTGGAAACTATATGAAAGACTGTAACAAAATAAGCATTTGATGGCGCTTTGCTAAATGAAAAGTGCAGCAAATGAAGTAATGTATAATATACTCTATACAGTAACTGAAATAGGGTATATACGTTTTTGGAATATATATATCTGCGTCTATTAAAAGGGCATGAATTGGGGAATAGCTGAAGCTCTATCATAGATGAAGCTAATGTCTCATATTTTTATAGATAATTTTTCAATTCTATAGTTACATTGAGCCAACAACATCTATATCTAAAGAGATAAATTTGAAATTTTAGGATCAATAACCTTCTTCATCATTAATCAATAAGACTCGACTTGCATTCGGCTTGCAGCTTGTTCGGCTTATCTAATTTAATATAGCTTTTTCCCGTCTATACGAAATCTCGCTTTCGATTCGGTCATAAATTCCGTTACCTATTAGCGGGTCCATTTATAATGTCGCAGTGTGCATTAGCGTCTGCTGGATTGGCGCCTGAGACGGAGCTCGCATATAAACAATTTCATTTGTTTCATATTTCTTTTTGTATATTTTATTTTTTGTTTTGTTTTGTCTTAACACTTCTATTTAATTAATTGTTTAGATCAAATTCACAGTTTGCGTTTGGCTCGGCTTGTCTGCTAGTTGCCATTTTCCCTGCCCACCCCGACCCGTCCCAGCGTCCAATACACCCAATTTGTATCATTCGATAGCACTCAACGCTGCGTGGGTGGCGCATGCGTCAGATGCACCACCTTGGGCGTAGTGCTGGGTCGAGTGCGCGGCGTGGTTGGATCCTGTATGTTGCGCTCGTACACCTTAAAGGCCTCCGCATCGTGAGCGACAGTCTTGAGCTGGCCCGTATAGTAGTCCCTGATCTGATAGGGATGTGTGCGTATATAGGCCAAGGAACGCAGTATATAGTCGGGCACCTTGGGTATATGATCGCCAAGTGGATAGTAGCCCTTCTCATCGGCCACATACTTAATGCTGATGGGTGTGCCCTCCGGTGAGGTATAACTCGAACCGCCCTGCACGGCAATGCCGCCCAATCCGGACTGTTCGCCCGTAATGCCATTGGATGTTTCATACGCATAGCGATAGCTGCCATCCGGATCCACACTCAGCTCATTTTGCACCGTCTGCGTATTGCGATCCGAATCGGGTATATATGCAGCACGGATCAGAGCGACCACGCACACAAGTTGCACCTACAAAAATGTACACACATTTCGATTACTTGAATTCCAGTTGGACTTTTCAGTTGAAATATCTTACAAACAAATTGAGCAGCATTTTATTTGGCATTTTGCAATCACGATATTATTCGGCTATAATTTCTTATATATTTAATTTTTTGGTAAACCCGAAATCTCGTCGCGGCTGTTCGTTCTAGCGCTTTAAATCAACGACTGTTTGGTTGCTTTTGGCATGCTTTCGTTTTTATATCCAATTCGCTTGCCATGAATTTTTGCATTTTTTTTCGGTTATTTTTTTTTTTTTCGGGGATTGGAAACCCAGTTCCGAGAGCGAAGGCGTCGTCTGTGTCGTCGTCTCCAGCCGCTCGTCATATCATCATCTCAAGCGGCAGTCATAAATTAAATGATTTTATTTGGCTTAAGCTCTGCTTCATTTTTTTTTAAAATTATTTCTTCTGACTTTTAATAATTATTTTATATATGATCGCCAAATGGTTGTAGTTCTTACAGTTTTGTGGGCCGGTTAAAAATCATTTATTGCTCGCGATATGATATGCCCTATTCGAAGGTTATATAGCACCTAAAATTTGATATATTTATATATATATATTTATATTAATTGTTGTTGATCTTGAACACAATTATTGCCTTGCATTCCATAATTTTTAGTTCATTTTATTTTTATTTTTTGGCGCAAGAGAAATATTTAAGAGATCGTTGAACCGATCGTAAATGTAGTTCGATTAAGGTTTTTTAACGGGGCTCGTTTACGTAACTGAACTTAAGTAAACAGATAGCTTAACCAGTTTTTAAATATTTCTACACATTTTTTAAATAACATTTAATTGTTTCTACTCGATTATACTATTTGGTAGTGTTCTTTAGAATTTATTTTTAATTGATTTGTCGCCTTAAACGGTTTTTTCTAATTTATTACGATTTTTAAATGTATTTTTGGTTATAACTGTATGCAAATTGGGGGGGGCTGGACAGGGTGATGAGTTATAATCTGGTCTCAGACAAGGAGAGCTTGTAATCCTCCTTACTTTTGAAGAAATAAATATTTAAATGTCACTTGAATAAAGCTATATAAATTAAATGTGAGAATCACATAGAAAGGCGGCATTAGGTATATGAAATAAGGGAGCGGAAAAATTAATTTATAAAAAATAATGATTGTAAGTGTGAAAGAATAATAGGAGAGGATGTTTAGGAGATAGAAATAAAAGATAGAAATAAAAGATAGAGATAGAGATAGAGATAGAGATAGAGATAGAGATAGAGATAGAGATAGAGATAGAGATAGAGATAGAGATAGAGATAGAGATAGAGATAGAGATAGAGATAGAGATAGAGATAGAGATAGAGATAGAGATAGAGATAGAGATAGAGATAGAGATAGAGATAGAGATAGAGATAGAGATAGAGATAGAGATAGAGATAGAGATAGAGATAGAGATAGAGATAGAGATAGAGATAGAAAGATGGGTCGTCAGAGAATGAGAGAGATAGACAAAGACATAGTTAGAGAGATAAAACGAGAGAGGGAGAGAGCGAAAATAAGAATGGAGGGAGCGAAATGGGCACAAATAGAGAGATGAAAAGGCAAAGGAAGAGAAAGACAAGAGGCAAAGGCAGAAAGAGACAATCGACAAAAAGACAAAGCGAGTTCCAAACCAACAGCGATAGAGAGACAAATAAAGAGAGAGAGAGAGAGACAAAGAAATATAGAGCAAGGTAATGAGAGAGGAACAAGACTAATAGAGTAAGAATGATAGGGAGTTAGATAGTAAGCAGGCCAGATAGAAAGATAGAGGGTAACAAGATGTCAGAGTGGGTCAGAAAAAGAGAGTTGAAGAGGGAGACAAAGAATGCAAAGTAGAGAGCAAAAGGTGCGAACTGAGAACAAACTAAATTCTTCGACTCTCATCTTTCATATAAATATTTTTAAATTTCTAGTTGTTTATAATAAATAAAAAAATCAACCGTTTCTAGTTTCAAGTCGAGAACTATTAAATTCTATGTAGCTGAGTTCCTGTCCGTTCCATGCTTACACTCAATGCAAGCCAACAAACCGTAACGAATCTATCACATTTTTTGGCCAAAAGCTGAGTTTTGTATGCCTGATTTGCATACAGTTGGCAATATAGTAAATTATGTGGGGCTAAAGAATAAAAGCAGTTGTTGGCCAAGTTTGGAAAGTGGTCAGAAATGCCGAGACGTTGGCTTGTCCCACTGCTTGGGAAATGGAAACCTTGGCCGGATTGCCATAAATGGCGCCATGAAATTGCGAACTGTGAAGACGTCACATTTTAGCAGCTGACTTGGAGCAGACGGCGAGCTATGAACGTACTTGAACTCCAAATGTGGGCGGCTGGAAGAGGAGAGGGGGCGAGTTGAGGGGGGGCTAGGGGAGAAACAGTGCTGTTAATGTGTTAAATAGTCTGGAACGCAGTTGCACTTTGTGGGTTCTCCGCTTGGGACTGGCGCCAAATCGATTAGAACCGAGACGAAGACAAAGCGCATCAGTCACGTTCATCCCAAACCGGATGAGCAGGATCCGGATTTTTTCGATCTTGTTGTTCATCAGGCATAGCTCTTAACTGAGTCAGTACATCTTTTAGTCGCCGTCTCTGCTATAATTATTATTCATTTATTTTTTATTATATATTTGGTTTTTTTGGTAATATCGACATTTAGCAATGTGACAATGCACCCAGTTTAATGGCAAAACAATTAGGAAGGAATTTTCGTTGTGGCGACAAATTGTTTTCATCGGAGAACCGGCTATAATTTATTAGTTTCCAGCATTCTGGGCTTGCCCTGAATTAAGCAATTTACATTTAAAATAGTTATACCCAATGCAGGCGGCTGAAAGGGGTATGCTTAGCTTGCAAATATGTTTGCGAAGGCAAAAGAATCAGTTGATTCAGTTTTTCAGTTGTCCTTAGAAGCTTGTTTGCTTTAGAGCAATGCAGGGTATCACATAGTCGGTCAAACTCTGGTTAAAATCTTGTTTACATTCTTAGGTTTTAGGCATTTGCTAATTTGTTTTGATCAACTTGAGTAAAACTCACATGCAACATTGTGGTTTGCAACATTTCTGAGACCAATAAAGAGGTATAAAATGCAGCAGGGTATCTGAAAGTCAGGCATCTACTACTTAAGCAACTTGTTATTCAGTTACATTTTAACATTTGCTTTCGCTTTACGGTATAATTACTCCTGCACACCTTTTGTATACTTTTACAGGGCATCTCATAGTCTGACATACTCTACCCATGACATTAAAGTTTACATTTGCTCGGATACTTAGCATAAAACATATAAGCTACATATAATTAAGCCTGAAAGATTTTATTTAATATTACAGGGCATCTAACAGTCTATCATACTCTATCTTATCACTTCTCACTCGCTTAATTTGAATACAAAAAATAAAAAATTATTAATAAAAAAATATTTAACCCTTCATCTTAGGTTACAGGGCATCTCTCAGTCGGATATACCCCATTCAAGCCCTTCTGCATTTGTTTAACAACCCAACAGTTTGCCTCAAATATAAAAACATCTAATTTATTTATAAAACAATTAAACAACAAAGTTAATAACATGACAGGGTATCATGTAGTCGGTCATATCCTACATAAGCACTCTCCAAGTTGCTTAGAAGCCCTATAGTGAGAGGTTGATCGAATAGAAGAAGAAATATGTAACTTATCGTGATTTACAGGGCATCTCATAGTCGAGCATAACCCATTGAGGAGCTCTCTAACTTGTTTAACAGCCCAACATTTTGCATTAAGTATAAAAACAAATCATTTTATTTATATAAAAAAAATTATAAAACAAAAACACATGTTAACAAATTACAGGGTATTTTTTAGTCGGTCACACCCCAGACAGGCCCTCTCTCTAACTCGTTTACATTCAAAATTCTTTGCATTTGATCTTTTGCCAGGCCATTGCCAAGTGGTGCAAGCTAAACAAGATATCGCTGGTGGTGGTTGGGCCCGAAGATCCGCTAGCTTTGGGTCTGGGCGATGTGCTGCAGAAGGCGGGCATCGCATGCTTTGGGCCCGGCAAGCAGGGCGCACAGATCGAGGCGGATAAGAAGTGGGCCAAAGACTTCATGCTGCGCCATGGCATACCCACGGCACGCTACGAGAGCTTCACGGATGTGAACAAGGCCAAAAAGTTTATACGCAGGTAAAGTGAAATAAAATTTGTAATTAAAATAAATGAATAAATAATTCACTCGTTTGCTTTGACAGTGCCCCATATGCCGCTCTGGTGGTGAAGGCCGCTGGCCTGGCCGCTGGCAAGGGCGTTGTGGTGGCCGCCAATGTGGATGAGGCTTGCCAGGCAGTCGACGAGATACTGGGCCAGCTTATATACGGCCAAGCCGGCGCCACACTTGTCGTCGAGGAGCTGCTCGAGGGCGAAGAAGTCTCGCTGCTGGCCTTCACCGATGGCAAAACCATTCAGGCCATGCTGCCCGCCCAGGATCACAAGCGTCTGGGCAATGGCGATACGGGCCCCAATACTGGCGGCATGGGCGCCTATTGCCCCTGCCCGTTGATTAGCAAACAGGCCCTGGAGCTGGTGCAGCGCGCTGTGCTGGAACGCGCCATCAAAGGACTGCAGCAGGAGCGCATTGCCTATCAGGGCGTGCTCTATGCCGGCCTCATGCTGACACGCGACGGTCCACGCGTACTCGAGTTCAATTGTCGCTTCGGTGATCCCGAAACGCAGGTAATACTGCCGCTGCTCGACTCCGATCTCTTTGAGGTGATGCAAGCGTGCTGCAGCGGCCAGCTGGAGCGCATCAGCCTGCAGTGGCGCAGCAGCCTGAGTGCTGTCGGTGTGATCATGGCCAGCGCTGGCTATCCGGAAATTGCTACAAAGGGTTGCGTCATTACAGGTGAATATATAGAGAGCGTGGAAAACCCCAAAGTAAAAAACCCCAAAGTATATCAATATCACACTTAAGACTTTAGTATCCAGCCAAGCAACTTGGGACTGCAGCTATGTATACATTGCGCACTCAGATAGTGAGTCTAGCTAGCACCGTTAGTCATGCTTTAGTTAGAGATTATGCAACTGGATATTCGACACTTCATTATTCTTGGCATGCCCACTTTGCCCTAGAGTTCAAAGTGCAAGGCTTTTAGTCACTTGCCTTAATTAGGAATCTCTTTGCTTTCGTCTGATAACTCGTCTAGCTGAAAGAGCTCTTGTTATAGCATACTTTTTCAAAGAGTTTTACTAATTAGAGTCTCAACTAGTAGCTAACTATATCAAGGCTTTCAAAGAGTTGCCTAATTCTAAAGAATTTGCATTGATTCAAAATGTTTCGTATACCAAAGCTCTCTAGTTTCTAGAACTCTTCTACCAGGTCTCTATATAAACAGGAATTGCAATCAAACTACTAAGAATATAGAGAGATATTTTTATTATTATTGAACTTTAAATCTAATAAACTTTCAATCTGATAAACTTGTGCCATAGATAATTACTTTAGCTACTCTAGATACTATCTAAAAACAATCTATTATTTTAGTAGATGGAAAACAAACTTTAAACTACTCTAGATACTATCTAAAAACAATCTATTATTTTAGTAGATGGAAAACAAACTTCAAACCTTCAAACTTCAAACTGCTCTAGATACTATCTAAATACGATTTATAATTTTAATAGATGTAAAACAAACTTCAAACTACTCTAGATACTCTCTAAAGACATTCTATTATTTTAGTAGATTTTTTTCTTAATTGCTGTTTTTATTATCAACAAATCTGTCTTACACTCAACAATAAACAAATTTTTAAAAAATAATATTACGTAACCAGATGGCTTGGGCGCCAATGAGACCTCTTAACCCATATTATAATTAAAGCAGCTGCCTGAAAGTAAAGTCCAGTTATAGCTAAACTCTAAAAATAAAATATTTTATATTATATTTTATATTATCTCAGGTCTGCCCGCCGCCAACACTGAGACTCAGCTGATCTTCCACAGCGGCCTGGCCGTCAATGAACAGCAGGAGCCGCTGACAAATGGCGGTCGAGTGCTCATTGTCGTTGCCCTGGACGCGAGCCTAAGGCAGGCCGCTGCTCGTGCCACCAAATTGGCGGCAGGCATCAGTTTTGCTGGAGCTGGAGCACAATATCGCACGGATATAGCACAGAAGGCGTTCAAAATGTAAATCTAACAAGACACAATAAAATGAAGAAGCTATAATTGATGTTCATACGAGGATCATTGTGATGTTAAGAGATCTCTAAGATCTAAGCTCGCCATAGAGAATCATTCTATTATTGAGATCTCTAAGATCTAGTCTCGCCATAAAGAATCATTCTACTATTAAGAGATCTCTAAGATCTAAGCTCGCCATAGAGAATCATTGTAATGTTAAGAGATCTCTAAGATCTAAGCTCGCCATAGATAATCATCCTACTATTAAGAGATCTCTAAGATGTCAGCTCGCCATAGATAATCATTCTAATATTAAGAGATCTCTAAGATCCAAGCTCTCCATAGAGAATCATTCTAATATTAAGAGATCTCTAAGATCCAAGCTCGCCATAGATAATCATCCTACTATTAAGAGATCTCTAAGATGTCAGCTCGCCATAGATAATCATTCTATTATTAAGAGATCTCTAAGATCCAAGCTCTCCATAGAGAATCATTCTACTATTAATATATCTCTCAGATCTAGTCTCGCCCTAGAGGATCATTCGTGTTTGCGTGCCAACTCACTTTAACTCTGCTTCTTTCTTTATTAACGCACTAGGGCGCCAGCTCCTTCGCTCAGCTACAAGGACAGCGGCGTGGACATCGATGCTGGCGATGCTTTGGTGCAGCGTATCAAGCCGCTTTCGCGTGGCACACAGCGACCTGGTGTCTTGGGTGGTCTGGGCGGCTTTGGTGGTCTCTTTCGCATCAAGGATCTCAGCTATGAGCAGCCAGTCATCGCTGAGGCCACCCAGGGCGTGGGCGCCAAAATACAGCTAGCACTGCAGAACGAGCTCTACGATCACATTGGCTACGATCTCTTTGCCATGTGCGCCAATGAGCTGCTGGAGCTGGGTGCCGAGCCAGTTGCATTTCTGGACTACATTGCCTGTGGCAAGCTGCAAGTGCCGCTCGCTGCTCAGCTGGTCAAGGGCATGGCCGATGGCTGTCGCGATGCACGCTGCGCGCTCGTTGGTGAGTAGAAGCTGATCATAGATAGAAAAGTTCAGATCACAAGATCAGCTTGAGATTGGCGCATGACAGAGCTTTGACTCAGTCAACTGCGTACTTAAAAGTCTTTAACTAGAAATATTTTGAGAAGAATTTGCCTAAGGATCAGTAGCAGCTGCCTAACAGTAGCTGCTAAGTCAACTAGTAGCAGCATTAGCTACGGACTATAAACAGTTGCTCTAAAGCTTAGTCACATTATTATACGATCTGTAGTATCAAGAGAGATCTCTTGAGCAGCAATTGGTATGGTATTTAGTGTTATACTTTATCAAAATATTGTTGCAGCTATAATTAGCTAAGGTCCTTAACTATAACTTGACTTTAGCCTGTGATCTGTAGTTGAACTACAGCAGCTCGATCAACAGCCTTTATAGATAGCACGTTATAAACAAATTTAACTGATTTGCAATTAATTTGAATATAAAAATAATATGCTTGATGCAAAAACTATATTAAATTCATAAGCAACTGGAATTTTCCTTTGACAATTTCGAGCAGTTGACATTTTCGGCTCAATATGGGCTATCAATAGAGCGGTAAAGGCGGAACCATTTGAGTCTCGTTCTGATATGCTTTTCACTATAATGTAAACTTGTGGTATAGCTTAAATATTTAGTAGGTTTTATTTTGAGCTTTATCTTAAATGTTAATTAATCTGCTTATTGGATTAATTGAATTCTCTATTCAGTTAGTAAAGTCTTTGACTGTTGCTAAGCGATCCTTGCTTGGCTTTTAAGTGCAAGCTGTGATCGTTGCTTTGAAATAACTGATCTTTGATCTATATTTCTATATATTGGAAATCTAACTGTATGTCTAATCTCTTCTGGTTCAATCTTATCCTTTGACTGCGATATCCAATCAATATGCTTAAACTGATCTTTAGCTGTTGCTCCATCAATGCTTGATCTCTCTCTCTCTCTCTCTCCCTCTCTCTCTATGTTATCTTACGTAATACGCCTCCCTCTTCATTATGCATCCATCAATGCTTGATCTCTCTCTCTCTCTCTTTCTCTCTCTCTATATGTTATCTTACGTAATACGCCTCCCTCTTCATTATGCATCCATCAATGCTTGATCTTTCTCCCTCTCTCTCTATGTTATCTTACGTAATACGCCTCCCTCTTCATTATGCATCTTTGCAGGTGGCGAAACCGCTGAGATGCCCTCGCTATACTCAGTGGGACAATATGACATGGCTGGCTACTGTGTGGGTCTGGTGGAGGAGTCGCGCGTGTTGCCGCGCTTCGACACTTATGCGGCTGGGGACTTGCTGGTCGGCTTGCCCTCCTCTGGGCTCCACTGCTCGGGCTTCAGTGAGCTGCTCGCTCAATTGACGGCGGCTGGTGTGAATCTCAGGGCTCGTTCGCCGGTGGGCGGTGATCATGGGCTAAGCTTGGCTCAGGTGCTGGGCACGCCTACACGGGTCTATGTGCAGCAATTGTTGCCTCATCTACAGGCGGGTGAGATAAAGGGCGTGGCGCATGTGACACACGGCCTGCTGCACGATGTGGAGCGCCTGCTGCCGGCAGCATACGAAGTAGCCCTGGACTTTGGCGCTGTGCCCGTGCCCGAGGTGTTTGGCTGGCTGGCCGGGCAGCTGCAGCTGACGCCGCAGACAGTGCTGGAGCATCATAACTGTGGCATTGGCATGCTGCTGGTGCTGCCCCAGGCCAGTCAGCTATGGAGAACAGCGCTGCCCGGTGCCAAGGTCTTGGGCATACTGCAGTCACGTGCTGCGCAAGCAACTGCTGCCCGTATCCAAGTGCGCAACTTTGAGGAGCAGCTGGAGAAGTTGGCTGCGCCGTTCGGCGGCTTGGGTCGCGAGCAGCTAGCCTCGGAGCTGGTGAAGGCACAGCCGCTGCCCGCAACTGCCGCTCGCGAGGATTGCTTCGAAAATGCCAGCGGCCGGCGTCTCACACGTCTGCCCGCCCGCTACACGGATCCCATTCTTATACTGGGCACCGATGGCGTCGGCACCAAACTGAAGATCGCCCAGCAAACGGGACGCCATGGCAGCGTTGGCATCGATCTGGTCGCCATGTGCGTCAACGATATACTCTGCAATGGCGCCGAGCCCTTCAGCTTCTCCAGCTACTATGCCTGCGGCAAGTGGCAGCCACAGTTGGCCGCCGAGGTGGCCGCGGGCGTGCACGAAGGCGCACGACAGGCGAACAGCAGCTTCATCGGTGAGTCCCAGTAACACTTAGCCATTAGCTGTAGGCCAGTTTGGTAGGCCAACTTAAGTTGTCTTAAATGAAATTAGAACTGGGCTTGAACTTTGGCTTCAACTCGGTTTCCTTTGCATTTGCTGGCAGCAAAGAATTTTCATTTTATGCAACAATCTGTAGTAGCTCTGTATAAATGTGCTAGGTATAGAGTTTCCAGCATTGCCACCTCAACAGGTGTTCATAATTGATTTTTGGCCAATCTATAAAGCGGGCTTATATTTCAAATCTCTGCTTCTTACACTCAGTAGTAGAGCACGCATTGAAGCTCATCAATATACTCTTTCTCTCTTCATTAAGTGAAGTAGCATAAAAAGCTTTTCAGGGCTTTGCAAAGCTTTTGAATCTGGCAATAGCAAAGCTTCGCTTTAAATAATTATTACTGGAAGAAACAGTTGAAAGCCTCTTGGTAAATCCAGCTGCAGAACATATAGTTTTTCCAATTTGCCAGCTAGATAGCTATATCTATATATTTATTTTTTGCCATGCGGACAGCCAGACGGACATTGCCTAAAACACATAAAAAGCAAACCAAATGCTTAAGAATCTTCAAATTTAATATACAGAAAACATTGAAATAACTTAGTAAGCTTTGCTTAGCTAACCCTAGCAAAAACTTTTTTTATTAAACTATATACAAATTGTATACATGTATTTAGCTGCTATAGCAGCAAGTGTACGTCGCTCAAAAAGCTTTGCTTAGCTTTAAAGCTTTTTAAATTTGAAAGTCACACGCAAAATGAGCTTTTAATTAAGTCTACCACATGCTTAGCTTCAGCCTAGTTGAGGTTATTCATTATTTGAGTTGTAATCTTCCAGTAACACACAGCACAATTTTATAGCTTTAAGAAGCTTTAAAGCTCACGATTATTATTTTATTTTAATTATAAAGCTTATAACTTATAAAGCTCTTTCGCAGCAAATATTTGAATCCTTAGCTGCACACTTATAGACTTCACAATGATAAAAAGCTTTAAAGCTCTTGAAATTAAAAAGTTTTGCGAACTTCAGAGTTTCCTTTTGAATCTTTCTTTCTATTATGCTTTGTCTAGTTGTCTTACATACAGTAACTATATATAGTCAAGAAGCGTCAAAGCTCTTGAGTAAAAGAAAAATGTGCTTTTAACAAAGTTGTCGAGTCTTTATCTCAATACTTGCAGTGTTCGCAGTTACAAAAAGCTTTAAAGCTTTTGAAGTTTTGAGCTTTGAGTAGTTGTCTTACAAATCTATTTTTTCTAAGAAGCTTTAAAGCTCATGAGTTAAAGAAAAATGTATTTTTAGCAGATGAAGTTCCTTCATAAAGAGATTTTTCGAGACTTTATAACAATTCTTGCAATATACAAAAGCTTTCAAGCTTTTGAAATATATAAGCTTTACACTTTTAAAATCAGAGTTTCCATTGGAGCTTTCCTCTCTTTGAGGAGCTGTGTTCTAGTTAAGCAGCTTTAAAGCTTACAATTAAGAAATCTGAAAAGGCTTTAAAGCTCTGCACATTTAAAAGCTTTACAAAAATCAAAGCATTAAAGCTTACCATGCGAAAAGTTGAATTTTTTGTTTGTGTTTGTTTCGTTACTATGCAAAGCTCTTTAAAGCTCCAGACATTTAAAAGCTTTATAAAAATCAGAATTTCCCTTTGAAATTTCCTCTCCCTAAAGTGCTTTGTCTTCCAATAACTCCTGCGTCAGTTAATCCCCTTGCCTCCATCTTTCAGATGCCCACTTAGCCGCGCTGCCGCTGCTCTACGAGCCGCAGGTCTACGATCTGGCTGGCTTTGCGCTGGGCATTGCAGAGCGAGCTGCGATACTGCCACGCTTGGAGGAGATACAGCCGGGAGATGTGCTGATTGGATTGCCCTCGTCTGGCGTGCACAGCAACGGCTTCAGCCTGGTGCACACTGTGCTCAAGCGGGCGGGCCTAGGCCTGGCGGACCGGGCGCCGTTCAGTGAGCGCACGCTGGGCGAGGAGCTGCTGGTGCCGACCAAGATCTATGTGCAGGCACTGGCGCCGCTGCTCGCCCAGGCCGGCCACGGCATCAAGGCACTGGCGCACATCACGGGCGGCGGCCTCAGCGAGAATATACCGCGTGTGCTGCGCAAGGAGCTGGCCGTGCGGCTCGACGCGAATCGCTTCCAGTTGCCGCCGGTCTTCGCCTGGCTGGCCTTGGCTGGCAACATTGCGCCAGCCGAGCTGCAGCGCACCTACAACTGCGGCCTGGGCCTCATCTTGGTTGTGGGGCCGCAGCAGGTGGAGCAGGTGATGCAACAGCTGCGCTACGCCCAACGCGCTGTGGTGGTGGGCGAGGTCGTCGCCCGCAAGGATGCCAAGCGGCCGCAGGTGGTGGTGCAGCACTTTGATGCGTTGCTGGCGCGCAGCCAGCAGCTGCTGTCGCTGCCACGTCGCCGCGTCGCCGTGCTCATCTCCGGCACCGGCAGCAACTTGCAAGCGCTGATCGACGCGTCGCGTGACTCTGCCCAGGCGCTGCACGCTGACATTCAGCTGGTGATTAGCAACAAGGCCGGCGTCCTGGGCCTGGAGCGCGCCAGCCAGGCGGGCATACCAGCGCTGGTTATCTCGCATAAAGATTTCGCCAAGCGCGAGGACTACGATGCCGAGCTGACGCGGCACTTGGTTGCCGCTCGCATCGATATCGTTTGCCTGGCTGGCTTTATGCGCGTCCTGAGCGCGCCTTTTGTGCGCCATTGGCGTGGCCGACTCATCAACATACATCCGTCGCTGTTGCCCAAGTACCCGGGCTTGCATGTCCAACTGCAAGCACTCGAAGCGGGCGAAAAGGAATCCGGCTGCACCGTGCACTTTGTCGACGAGGGCGTCGACACCGGCGCCATACTGCTCCAGGCGCCAGTGCCCATACTCGAGGGCGACACGGTCGACAGCCTGACCCAGCGCATACATCTGGCCGAGCACTGGGCGTATCCACGCGCCTTGGCTCTGCTGGCCAACGGCTCGCTTGCCCTCAGTGCAGAGGGCAAGTGCGTCTCGAAGCCGAACCAAATTTGTTAACTGAATTCTCTAGGCGAATTCCCACTAAGACAGCTTCCATATGCATGGTATACGATAACATAATACATATATGTAAGTACTAACTATATATACTTCTTTGTTCACTAATAAATTTACGTTTTAAATAAACTCGTGTGAAACGAATTGGGAGTGCTCGACTAGCGGATACCCGTGCCGACAGCTGCAATTGCTATTATTCGGGGATTCCCTTAGACAGACACAGCAAATGACACACACACACACACACACACACACGCACACACACACACACACACACACACACACACACACACATACACACACAGGCACGCGCTCTGCTTGCTGCGCAGTTAACGCAGCGACTGCGCTTATGGGTTTTACCATGCACAACTTTATTGTTCAATAACTCTACTTCTAAATGGAATTTCTTAGTCAAAATTTCAGAGCGTGATAATGACATCCAGCTGTGTCTAGTGTACAAGTCTCTAGCATTTGACATACGTTTTTCTTTTGCAAATGTGGTGTGGGTGAAGCGGGGACGAAGTATCTAAAATTAGAAATATACAAAAATATGTTGGCTCCATATAAAATAGCAAATTTTAAGCTTATTTAGTATTTAAGCTAAATACAACTATCGATTTTTATCGATAACAAAATGGATTGAGTTATTGAAAAAAGTGATATACAGGAATATGCGATTAAAATGTCAAGTCTCTAGCTTTTGTGGCTTAAGAGTTTAAGGACGGACGAACGGACAGATAGACGGAGGGACAGACGGACAGGTGTACGAGAAATCGGACGGACGGACGAACGGATTATCGAATGGAGGGACGGACGGAAGGTAGAATGAATGGGCGGACGAATGGAAGGACTGAAACGGACGGAAGGAGGAAGCGGACGGACGGAAGGACTAGCGGAAGGACGGATGGACGGACGAACGGAAGGACTGAGACGGACGGGGGAGGAAGCGGACGGACGGAAGGACTAACGGAAGGACGGATAAACGAATGGACGGACGAACGGAAGGACTAAAACGGACAGAAGGAGGAAGAACGGACGGACGGAAGGACTAACGGAAGGACGGAAGGACTAACGGAAGGACGGATAAACGGATGGATGGACGAACGGAAGGACTGAAACGAACGGAAGGAGGAAGAACGCACGGATGGAAGACTAGCGGAAGGACGGATGGACGGATAAACGGATGGACGGACGGACGGAAGGAGGAAGCGGACGGACGGAAGGACTAACGGAAGGACGGATAAACGGATGGAGGAAGAACGGAAGGACTGAAACGGACGGCAGGAGGAAGAATGGACGAACGAAGGAACAGACGGAAGGGGGAAGAACGGACGGACAAACGAACAGACAGACGGACAGGCGGTCGAGAGAACGGACGGACGGACAACGCTAGATCAACTCAGCTCACCACCCTGAACATATGTATAAATACTTAAATACTGAATATATATACCACGCCCCCTTCTGCCTATTTCATACATATTCACAAAATATACCCAAAGTTGCCATTTCCAATGGGTTCCGGGTATAAGAAACTCTTCCTTTTGGAAACAGGTGCGTTCAGAGCTCCTGCAGTGCCAAGACATCGTCAAAACTAATTAAGTTTATCTGAAAGCGAAGCAAACTCTTCATTTCTCCACAGAGAGTCAACTATTTATGCAAAGAGCCCCCTCCGATCCCAACTAGATTATTTCAAATAAGAGCAAAAATTGGCCTTTATAACAATTCTAGTTCTATTCAGCGTCTGCTTTGGCTCTGCATTTATTTACATATCACGATTTGGTTTCCCTAAGCTAAGCTCCTAGTATCCTCATAGAAACATGGAGAAGAGATTCACCATGAAGCCGCGCTCGCTGGCGAGCTTTGTCTTGGCTTTCACCTGGTGTGGTCTCGGCATGTTGCGCTTTAGTTCTGGCTCCTGGAAGACGCTCTCGGCCAGCCTGTCCAGAGTGAGGCGAAAGTATTGGTTCTCCAGTATGGGCACAATTAAATTGTATTTATCAATTGTTTTATTTAGTTGGAGCACTTCGTCCGCATGCAGTTGGGCGAATTTATGCCAGGCCGCCTGCTCCTCGACGGTGGCGAGCGGCCATTCGCCGTAGTAGCAGCGCTCGGTGCGCAACAGTTGCTTCAGCTTGGCCACAGCTTCGCGTATGTCGCGGCTAAGCGTTATCCATTCCGGCGTGAAGCCATTGTCCAGCATTATCTTGTTCAGCTTGTGCGTGGTGAAGTCCAGATAGGGATTCTGCGACTGGGCCAGCGACAGCGGCTTGCCGGCACCATTTAGATTGTTGAAGTCGCCCTTGGACATGGCCTCCTGGATGAGATCCTCGACAACACGGTCGATGCCATACTTCGTTTTGATCGCATGTTTGCCGTAGTAGCTGCCGCCTTTGCGCATTAGCGCATGCTCCCCGGCTGCCGCCTTCTCGACGCGATGCTCCAGCACACGCTCCTGCGCCTTCATCGCACGCACCTGTTGGTATTGCTTTTGTCGCTGGAAGGGCGTGCCCACGCCTATGCCTTCATTGGAGAGATACTGACGATGCTGCGGCGCCGTGTGCCTTATGTCGAATTCCAGTTCCTCGTCCTCGTTGTCGCTGATATTGCGGCGACTTTTGGCGAACTTCTCTTGCAGCGCTTTGAATGCTTCGTCCACCTGCTGGAAGCGTTCGTTGCTCGCCTCGTCGCTGTCGGCATCGGGATGCACGCGCTTCACCAAATCCAAATAGGCGCGACGCACTGTCTCCTGGTCGGCTGACTCATGTACGCCGAGTATGCGAAAGCATTGCTAAATGGACGAGCACATGCCATGTTACGATTCTTTTGCAATGGTACTACCACTCACCTGGTACAGCTCACGTTTCTTCAGGTGCACGGCGCGTCTGCAGCTGGCGTTTAGGGGACTCATCAAATTACTCAAAATGTTTACAGTCGGCAACATTTTCGTATTATAATAATTTCAATATGTTGCTAGCATTTGTAGCCAGTGACAGAGTGATTTGCTAGCTTAGTTTACATTTAATAAGCACGTATTTAGCAACTATTTGTTATTCAATAAGTGGCAAGCGACCAAAACAAAAACAGAACCAAAACAAAATAATGATAACAGAGTTTTAACAGCGTTCTATTTCTGTAATTGCAGCTGTTAGTCCAGGTGAGCAAATGTACACATAAATACATTAAAATTATATCGCATAAATGATATTTTACGGTATACCATTTTTTACTCCTATATTATTGAAATTATCAACACACATATGCATATATGTTTATAAACACTTGCAATGTTATGGATGAGCAGACTGCCCTTGGCGCCTATCATCTGTTGCTTTTCAATACGTTATGTTTACCCCTTCTGGCCTGTTCGTCACACAATGTTAACATGAAGAGCGCACATAACATCAATTAAAATTCAGCTTTACTCAAAATGGTACTGTTCTCTTTACCATTCACGTAAATACATATCATCATGAGTGAGACCGCGTTATGGATTTTTAACAGATGTTGTGTGGCCAGATTTTGGCACAGAAAACAGCTGTTGAATTTATGGCACGCTTCGGTCACACAGTACCAAAAAAAAACTCGTTGCACACAACAGCAAAACACGCAACAAAAATTTATATTAATTCGATTTAATACAAAACGCATTACATTTACAACTAAACAATAATTGCCAGCCAAGTGCCTCAACTGGCCAAATATGTGCAAACAATGTGCAGTGCAATAAGCAATATAAATTGTTTAATATAGGCAACACACACATAAAAAATATTTTTTCGTAAGTGTCGCAGAATTTACTAGTTGCTGTGTGTGCGTGCCCCACTCATGTGTGCGTGTGTGTGTGTGTGAGTGTATGTGTGTGAGTACGTGCGTGTGTGAATGCGAGCGTGTGTGAGTGACTGACTGCAGTTTACGTACGATTTATTTGTTGATTAAAATGTAATAAAAACGTACACTAATTAAATGTGGAAAAGGCAACAGTCGCGCCAATCACAACAACAACAAAAACTTTGCTGCTATACAACACTGCATTGAGAAAAGAGAAACAACAAAAAAGAATAGCAGCATGTCGCGTCGTTGTATGTGTGCGTGTCGTCGTCGTCTCGTCACAGTCTGTGAGTGTATGTGTGTGTTCATTAGTATTTGTGTTAAATAATGTTTAAACATTTTTTTAATTCGCACAATCTTTTATGCGTTGCAGTTCAACAAAAGGTGAGTAATGTCATGTAAATAATTATAAACAAAAGCCTGACCAAGTCAAAAGTTCGTCAACAGTCGTTCTGAGCCCCCTACCCCCCAACAACACACACATTCTCTCTCCCTCTCTCTAGTTAGCACTCTCTCTTTTACTGCTACTCTCGCTCTCAATTTCGCTCAACTTAGGCAAGCGCTCTCTTAATTTCATTGCGCTTTGTTTTTAAGTGTCATTTTTGTAGTTGGCTTTTTTAATTTTAATTTGCTATGCGCGATTCGCGCGCTTATTGTGAATGCGCAAAACACACAAACAAACGTCAAATGTCAGACAAGCCGCTCTCGCTGTTATTTGCTAACTCTCCGTTGTGCGCTCTTCCTCTCCACAATGACAATGTTGTCAGTGTACGTGTGTGCGTATGAGTTTGATTTGTTTTTGTATAATTTACTTTTTACGTCTAAAAGCCTAAAGCACATATTTTAAGCACGTAAGCAACACATTGAACAGTTCTTCCTCAATGTATTTTTATTAGCTTCATCTTTTTTGCATTATTTTTGATTTGATTAGATGTGCTATACTCACAAACACACACACACACACAACTACAGGCAACTCGTATTCCGATAAGATTTTAATTGTTTGAAACGGACATGCCAATAATAACTAAATGCTGATACGAGAGAAGAGAATATCATTAGGTCGACTTCCACATGTTTAAAAAGTTTAGATCTAAAAATATCATTGCAGAAAAGATCGATGAGCTAAAACAATAGAAATTCATATTTATCGTAAATCGATATTAATTAATATTGCTTGAAAATGAATTAAGTTTTGAAGTTTATTTTATTCTATTTTATCTGTGAATATCGATGGGTGTCTCAAAAATAAAACCATTTTCCAAGTAGTCTCTGACAACTATTTAAAGTTTCCAATTTACGCGAAATCTGGTTAAATTTGAAAATGTATAACTTTATGCATGTTTTAAAAAGTTTGCATGTTGAATAAATTGTTTAAGGTGCTAATAGGAGATACCTTAGAGAAAAGTATCTTTTGTTTGTTTATTAGCATTTGTTAAAGCCAGAAATTTATCATAAAACAACAAACAAATGAAGAAAAGTGACAGCAATAATAAACAAACAAAATGCATAACAGGGCGAAACATTTGTTGTTGATTTTCGCACGGTTTCAAATTCCAATGCATTGGCAACACTAACGCTAACTAGCAACAACAAACACAGATACGCGCACACATTTGTACACTCAAACATACACACACAAATGCACGCACGCACTCAATAGCTAGCAAAAGTAACAACAAACAACAGGCGAAAACGTCAGGCGGCCTCTCTTTCTCTTGTGTCGTTAGTCTACTCTCAAACATTCATTCACAATTTAACTGTAACAGCCAAATGAAAGAGCGCATAAAAAAGAATGCGCGGTTGTAAATGAAGCAAACATATGTTGTTCTTAAAAAGATTTCAAAGCATTTTTTTCTTTAATTAATTAGGTTGATACAATAAATGAGAAACCAACTTTACTGTATGATCATTGTTAACAGTTAACAGCATATGTTAACATTTTCGGTAGATTGCACTCTCGCAGTTTTCTCGTTCGATTCTGTCCATTACTTAGAGCAAATTTAACAGAGCGCGAGCGCCACCTGTTAACTAACAGTTGCCTAACATGTACAATTTGAGTAAACATTTTCTCTCTGGCAACAAAATCTAACAGACCCGGTTAGCAGTTGGCGCCAGTGTAAGCAGTTTTTTATTAACAGTAACAGTACGTCGTCGCGCCGGATAAGATGTAAAAGCGAATAGCGAAAATCGTGAAATTTTTTCCTTCTACACGCGACCGTCAAACCAATCGCCATGCTAAATAAATAATAAAAAAATATATAAAGAAAATTATTACAAATAAGTGTGTGTAGCAATTGTAAAACAAGTGCAATAAGTGAAAAGTTAATGCAAAGCAAATAGCAATTAGCAAATAAAAGCAAAATCAAATGCAAATGCAAAAGCAAAAGCAAATATAATACGTAAGTTGTGTTTATTAATTATTTATGACAAGAGCAATAACAAAAAAAAAAAAAAAAAAAAAACAACGCGTTACAATTACCTTCTTCGTAGCGTCGTCGTCGCTGTCGTCGTTGTCGCAAGTAGAGCAACGCCGCGTTACCGTCGCCTGCCGCCCCTGTTGACCAACACACGCACACATTTCAACACACACACACATGCATGCATACATATACATAAATATAAATGCGAATTATTTTTATTATTACTTCTCTCGCTCTCGCCGACTCTTTCGATCTGTGGCGCCTGCAAATGTTATGCAAATTAATTAAAGCAATAGAAACAACAAAAACAACAATTAATGAAATCAATAGCAAACATCGCAGCAGCCACAACAGCATAAAATAAAAATTTCGCTTTCGCAAAGACAACAAGATGAAAAAAACGGTACAGAAAAAGTGAAATGCGCATTGACTTCAAAGCTGATTTTTTGTTGTAAATTTTTCAAACGGCACTTGGCGCTCAATCGCGAGCTCTCTTGCTCGCGCGTAACGGAACTGCCGCCAAGACATTCGTGATGTTGTTGTTTTTAAGCACTGACAAGCACAAAAGCAAACGCCAAAAAAAAACGGTTATGCGTGCGTTGCCCTTTGGGCTGCCTATGCCTACAACAACAACTGGTCGTAACATAATGAATGAAATACTACAAAAACAACTGAGCATAGACAATTCTCTGTACTCATACACACACATGGAGCTAAGCACACATCTGTCGATATATATGTATAAATGCATGCCCAACTGCACATATATAGCTAAAAATTATGTTATTTGTCTTGTGGCTCATCTGCCATATTATTGTTCGTATTATGTACTCTGTGTGCGTACGTATATTTTTCTTGATTTTTATTTAACACCTGCTTTTTTCCATCAGCGCGAGCCGCGCACTCATACAAAGTCGCAGCTGCTGTAACAAAAACGTTGGCAACACACCCCAAGTCTTGCGTACAATGTGGTTGGCAACTCTGCGTCATGCAAATGCAATTGCGATCAACAGCTGAACAGCTAGCATAAAGCAATGTTAGCGGAAAAATAACATCCTCGTGTATATATATATGAGTGTGTGTGATGTGACGTGATGTGATGTTGTTGTTTTGGTTGCAGAGGTTGACAATTATAGTTGGCAACACTGTGGCGTATATTAATATGCTTAACAGCTGTTGAGAGAGTTAGAGAGAGCAAAAGAGCGTTGAGATCGAATGTAAGAGCGTTTATTGTCCTTGGGTATTTAGATAGTTGTTGTTGTTTTTACAATTGGGTTTGACGAACTTTTAGGCATTTGGTCACACTTTGTAACTTTGAAAACTATGAAAACTTTAAATAATCAATTTCAATTTACAGCCCTAAAACAAAAAAAAAAGTAAACAAAAACTAAAAGCGCCTCAACAAAAAGCAATAAATAAATAAATAAATGAATTATTATATTAAATACCAACATAAGTTGAAAAGTTGAATAAAAAATTAAACAAAAACAAAAAAAAAATGAAAATTTGTAGCCATTAGCTTTAACAAAATAACAAACAACAAACGCATAACATTTATGAGCAGAAAAATTCATAAAGCCTATACAAGTACGCCTTCCAATAGTTATATATACACATTATATACCGTTATATACATACAATATGCATGCATTATATAGAAGATGATCATGAAGAGAAAGAAGTAAAACGAAAATCATCTTAATTAGTTTATATAAAGTGCGTTAATTCGAACGATGCAATCAAATCTTTAAATATTAACATATTAAATCGTATATATATATATATTACTTATAAATATATATATACATACTTGCATACATATATTTCTTATAACAACGAAAACAATTAGTAATTAAACAAAATTAAGAATAAATTATCAGCTTGCTTACAACAAAAACAAAACAAAACAAAATTTAAAAAAATCCATGCAATTACTTTAGCAAATTTACTTTAAACAAAAAACAAAACCAAAATTTATCAAAAAGAGACGAAACAGAAAACATTTAAAAGCAGTGCAAATTCTAAACTTAAAATAAGAAAAAAACAAAACACATTTTTTATATGCGCCCCAAGTGCTTAAACAACAACAACAACAAACGGAAATACCCAATAACAACAATGTAAAACATACAACCATAACCTCAATCAACACAGCAAATCGAGCAATATTACGGATAACAAACAAAAAAAAACAAAAAAAATATTAAATAAAATAAAAAATTATTAAACTTAATTGTTAAATGTTAACTAAAGAAAAACACCAACAAAAACAACGCCAGCAACCTGCCAGGAACAACAACAACAACTCATGCGGTGCCCAAAAGCCCAAAAAACAACTAGAGAAGAAGAAGAAGCAGCAGCAGAAGCAACAGCAACAAAACAACAACAGCGACAAGCTAACGAGAGCAACGGCTCTCAAAATTCTCAGGAGTTGCTGTTGCCACTTGCATTAACATTGGATTAGTCCCCCACCAATTCCCAAAGAAAAAACCCCCAACCAAAATTGAGGCACTCATGTAGAGTCATTCGAATGTGAATGGGGAACGACACCAACACCAACACCACCACCACCACCAACAACAACAAGAATATTGACATCGACAGTAACGGGACATGGATATACATATGAAAAAATTAACTAAACCACGGTAAGTAAAAGAAAGACTAATTAATTTTAAATTACTTTCCAATCGTCCAATTGGAGATATTTACTTTACATTCTGAATTTCAATAAGAATATGAGCAAGTCGATTTCCTATTGGAAATATATTTCTTGAGTTAATAGGACAACTAATTACCAAATTAGTTCTGCTAATTTTAATATATATGTTATATAAAATATTTCTTAAGAATTTTCTTTTTAATTTAAAAAAATGCATTTAAAAAAAATTATATATATATATATATATATATATATATATATGTATATATATATATATATATATATATATTATATATATATTATATATATATATTATATATATATATATAGTTATATTATGCATTGCCATATCGTTGCTCATTCAATATGAATGTGAAGCCAAGCTGCTGGTGCCCCAATGCCATATTATACACACACACTAGCTGCGGAAATTCACAGACATATTCTCGTCGCAAGTTCCACAACTAAAAACTTTTCTCATTTCTGTGGCAACCCTTTTTATATACACATACACGCACACTTATACATGTGTATATATGTATAAACATACTTTGCTTCTATATTTTTTTTGTTATATTTTTCTACTGTCAATGAGCTGCGGCGACCACTAAAATGTATAATTGAAAATTGTACGCCCACATTACGACTTGAAATGCACAGACAATATAAGAGACTGAGGCGGAGAAAGGGAAGAGCAAAAGGGGAAGAGGGATAGTACCAAAAATGGTCCCCAGTTGCTTTTAGCGCCAGGCAATAAACAGAGCGCAAGCAACAGCCGCCGCACTATGCAAGATAATAGCTAGGAAGAGAGAGAGAGATGAAGAAGAGAGACAGAGAGAGGGAGCGAGAGGGAGAGAGCGAGTGCTGCCAAGTTTGCGGTTTTTCTTGTCTGCCGTCTGTGCCCCTTAGCAGCGCCTTCCATTTAGTGCCCACCTTGACCAAAGTAGAAAAATCTAAAAGTTTTTTCTTAAGCTTTTTTTCATGCTTAAATACATATACACAGCTTACACTTAGATAAGTATATGTATATGTGTGTGTATATATTTTGCCGGCGTCGCCACGCACTGTTTCGCCTGCTTCTTCTTCGCCTTTTTCTGCCTCTTCTTTAAGCATTGTGTGCACTTTTCGCTGCAATTTGTCGAAAAGTTTTTACTGTGCGCGTAAAGTTTAACCATAACAGATTTCTTTTGCCGTCTATTTCTTGAGGGCTCAGAGAGAGAGAGGAAGAGAAAATAACTTGAGCAACTTCTCAATTTGGCTCACTGCCTGCCACGCCCCTATGCACGCCTCTAACAAACGTATAAACCAGCTCCACTAATTCGACTAACTAAAACTTTTTTATTTGACAAATATTTTTTTATATAGTTTATTTAAATAATATTTGAAAGTGACTGATTTCAGACTAGTTCTTGGCAGTTAGCTGCTAGGTATAATTAAGTTTAAGTGCGACAGTTATTATATGGAAATAGTTTGAGGGAAATTAAGAGAATTAAAAGAAAATCAATGTGAATCGGGCTAAGAAGAAAGAATAAGAATAATATATATAATTAATAATAAAAAAATTAAAAAAATATATCTTATAAATATATATATTGGCAGAGAAAGGACAAGGGCCACTCGAGGAAGACAAATTGAATTAAAATTAAAGTTTTTCTTTAAAACACAAAAATAAATAACAATTAATAGCAAATCTCAACTTTTAATATTTAAATGTAATCAATCAATATTTGATTGCCTTACTGCACTTAGTAGATTAAACATTTTAATAGCACACGCAAAGCTTTCAAATGTTTATGTTTTCAGTTTGACAAACAATCAGTCATATATTAATACACAGACACACACACTCGAAAATGTGCTGATTAAATTTTAATTTATATAAAATTGAAATTTTAATGTGTGTCTAAAGCGCGCGCGAGTTTTTGGCCACAATCTCCATTTCACCGTGCTCAGGCACAGGGCTCTGTGCTTTTAGCCCTCGTCAAGTACTGCCCTACGAAACACACACGCACACACTCACACACACACACAGACAGACAGCTGCACGCGACTGCAAGTTTCTGGTTTTGTGGCTTTTCCGCTTCTCACTTCACAACTGTCGCGCGCTCTCTCTTTCCCTCTCTCTCTCTCTCTCTCTCTTTATCGTTCGCTCGCTGGCTTTTGGCATTGGCTAAAAGCGAATTTCTTTCGTTGAATTATTTAAATTTGTCGGTGTTTGCCTGTGTGTGCGCGCGCTTGTGTGTGTGTGTGTGTCAGTTATGAATAGCTAAGTGAGTGCAAGTGCTGCAAGCAGCCTTTTCATTTTCATTATACGCAGTCCCTTAAGGGATCTGCTTCGCAGCTGGTGTGAGTGAGGAGCTGCTCGAATGGGAAGTGCCATATGATAAGTTTAGCCATGCAGAATTTTAATTGTATTTCGCATAAGCTTAATCAAACCTAATTTGATTGTTGAACTATTTGAAATGCAACTGGAAATTGCAAGATTTTAACAGATACAACATCATCAATAAGGAGCGAGATCGTAGAGTTTTTTGTATTGCTTAATCCATTAGTTAGTAGCCAATACTATTTTCATGAACGACCAAACTTTGTTCAATTTTGTTCACAACAATGTAAATTATTAACAGTATATTGTTGTTTTAAAATTATTTTCAAAATCGTGTGTTTATTGTGTGTCCAACATTTAGTGCTAGTCGCACTACTATTTTTATGAACACAACAGACTATAATAATTTAAAGAACTTACTTTGGGAAAGCATCTCTAACTTTTAGAGGTTATAACAATCAAGTATTTAGATGGAGGAATACCCTTAACTAGTCTCCCTAAAAACCTTACATTTACATAGAGAAGGTATTTCCTTTTCATGTATTTTTAAGTATTTTTGATTGCAACTAAATAAAATCAAATTCTTTCCAACATTTAGTCTTCTACCTAACTATTTAAAAGCAATTTAGTTTCCTATGCGTTTTTCACTTAAAGGTTTAAATAAATTAAACAGTTGCAAACTGATTAAAGCCGAAAACCCCCAAAAGTAAATTAGGCTCCCATACCATACGTTGAATGCGCTTCATGCACAGTTTTTGCTACTAATGATAAAAGTTACCCCCAAAAAGCTGGTAAAACAAATGTCTAATTGTCGCTGCGAATTGATTGGTTTGCCCACAACACACAGACGCACAAAGCTCCACAATCGTTTGTCAAGGGCACAGATGTAGGTATAACTGTATATATGTGTATATATCTTTATATATATATATTTATATATATATCTATTACATATGTATTTATTGAGATATGTGTGTTTGTGCATTACGTATACAAAAGGCAAACAAGTCAAACACGGGGCGAACCCTTGTAAAAGAACGCAGCAAATTATTCGCTAAAGGAAAAACCCTGAACAACAAAAACAGCAAGAGTAAAGTAGAACAAATAATAAGGCGGGCGGAAGTGAATAACTGTATACACTGTTTATTGTTTCTAATCATATAAAAGAGAGCTAAAATTCTTTAAGGTCTTAGCTGACTAAAGGAGTTTCAATCAAATATTATTATGAATATAGATTGTGATCCGTTGATCGATCTGTGTTAGAATCTAGCCTTAATCTTAACTGTCTTAAAGAATAAGTTAAGAATATGTTCTCTTCCAATGATCATGACTCAAAGGGCAATTGTTTCTTGTTTCTTGTTTCTAGCTATAAAATCGATAAGAAATTTGGCACTGAAACCTATATACTCTATAGCCGCTGCTGGAAACAGTGTATAAAACCGAAATAAATGTTAAGGGAAGTGATTTACTTTATCGATGGACACATAAAACAATTTGGCAGCACATTCAGACGAATACGCCTGCTCACTCTCTCTATCTCTCTCACACTCTATGTCTGCTCCCTGTCTCTGTTTCGCTTGCTTGCATCCCTCGAGTGGCGGCAAAACATCTGTCATGACGGTTTGTCCTTTCACCAAATCCTTTTTCGCACAAAAATCAAAATAATAAAAAATGAAGTAGAATTAAGCCAGTCGAGTGTGCTCGTTGCGCAGATACTCTGTAGGCTGGCATACGAATAAAAAGTATAAATTGTTAAGAAAATTGAAGTTTGTAAAGAAACAAATTTCAATATGTATAAAATTAATGATCAATGATTTCTAGCCTAACTCAATGTCATTGTATATGCACTGGCAACAGACGAAACTACCCTTTACTCAACTATATGTAGGGTATAAATAGCAAATCTTTTCTTCTCTCGCTGTTGCACGCTTTGCAATTTTATAAGGTATGAAAATTACATATGCCCCGCTGAACACACGCACACACACTCATGCACACTCACATAGCGACAGCCTAGTGTCCTGGTATCCTTCGTATCCTGAAGCGAAGTCATAAAACTTGCACCCCAACCAGAGCTTTGCAGTGGTTCCGTAATGCTCTACATTTAACTCTTCACCGCTCGCCTCCCTGCCTCGCCATCTTCAATTTGCAGCAAAGTTTGCCAGAGAACTTGGACTTTACCTTGCGTCCTGCTGCTTTACATCCTTTCTAACTGTTGCTGATTTATGGTCTGCCGAAGGGTAAGGCAAGGAGCTAGTTGGGTGCTAGTGGCAACAACTGTCTGTTTAGTTTACATGCTATCCCTCTCTCTCTCTCTCTCTATCTCTTTCTCTCTCTCTTCCTTATTCTTCTCCTTGTTCCGGCATCGCATTTAAATGACATAATAAAATGTATAATTTCGACATAAAAACTGAAATCCCCGGGGAGATTTCTGCTTATTTTTGCCAAGGTCCCCTATAAAGGAGCCCTATAAAAAAGAGAAGCACCCTCTAAATACCTCTCGCTTACCCAACCTTGGGCTGTCCAGTTGGGTTTGCCTTTTGATTGTTGAGTCAACGTGCGGCATATCAATTAGGTGTGTAGGTCAATAGCTTAAGTGTAGATGGCGGCCAAAAGGGGGTAGGGAGAGTTTGCAAAGGGATGAATGGGCCGGGGTAAGT